TTTTCAGCATGTGATATCGGTAGCCCAAATTTTACAGGCCGACGATTGATATCGGGTGTGCGTCGGCAGGGGATCGAACCCCGAACCATGTGCATGGTCGGCGAGAGTCCTAACCGCTGTGCCACCGACGCACTAGACTTTATATGTAATTCCCCTCATTAAAAACAAGCGTAGGATATTTTTCTCCATCCTAGGGTTACACTGTATTGAGTTGTTCACCCCTGAGCTATTTGAAGTCAAAATCAACTACATGTGAAGCTGTAAATAGACAGGAATTGGTCACTAGATGCTAAATAGTACAGCTGCATCAGAAATGTGTGCAACATTCATGTCTCTTTTTGCCACACTGTGTGAAACAGGTTTAAATCTCTAAAAAATATAAATTCCCTCAAGGTGTGTAGATACGCGTTTCTGATGAATGTCAACAACCATGCAACCCAGTCCTTGATCTCCTTGTCGATTTATTGTAAATAATTAAGTGCATAACAAAGTCTTCAGCTTACAGTAGCGGAGTGTCACCTACATAATTGATTACTTGGCACTCCCAGTCATTAAGAACTTGGTTAATTCTGAGGGTGGATGAACTTCGGTCTTTTCCGCAAAATGCTCTCATGTAACCACATGTTCACTACTTCTACCGATTAAGCCCTCTCCACTACCTTTACGCTATGGCGAGTGTTCTTAAAAAAGTGAAGGAGTGAATGCAAGTGGTTAGTGTTCATCACTTGATTGTTGGGTGCTTTGATACTTGAATTCCAAGTCAGTGGTAGCCTAAAAGAATGGATGGTATATGTTCTTGTTTTAGTCTCCAGCGTCCCTGGGAATGCAGCTCTTGACACTGCTTTATCACCTTATGAATCAGTCTTCAAATAAAAGGTTGTGCACTGATATCTCAATTTGAAAATTTGCACGAAATTGCAATAATTCAAGTTTCCACACTTAAGAAAAGCTCACTTAAGGCTGCTCAATGAGTTCCAGTTAACTAGCAAGTTTTCTACCCTCGAGATCAAGACTATCTCTACATCAAAAAGTTTGCAAAAACTAACCAAAGAATCCCCTGTTATCCATAGAATGCATTTCGTAGACTCACCAAGTTGACCAGATGCGGTTAAGTCATTCTTGTGTGTTTCAGAAACACAGCCTACATTCAAACCATTAGGTGTTGAATTATAACTAGTAAGCCTATTTTCAGATTTAGTAGAACGTCCAGACATTGAAAGCTCCGATGTGGTGTCGACAGAGCACCATTAAGAGACTAGGAACAATGTTTTTTCGGCTCAATTCACTATCAACTCTCAAATTTAGGAGAAGATGAAGTAACTGTTTGAGGAACAATAGTGGAGTGTAGTGGTTTGTTGAATTACGCCATTTCTCTCAAAAGTTATCATCGGTAACATTCTGAAGACAGTTGTCTAATACATATGTGTTGGTTACGTATATCTGCTATCTAAGGAGGGACTATTCTATCTTGAGTATGCAAACGGCACCATCTTACAGAATACTCAAATCTCATTTGTTTGGTCGATGATTAATATCTGCAAGTATGGTATTATCCTTTTAACAGTCCAGTTGCAGAATACTATTTCAAGATATGCAGAAGAAGCATGAACCTGAATTGACGTGTCTGCATGGTTTGTTTCACCTATCACTAGGATCCATAATCAATTCTATTTAGAACAAAGTTTGAAAGTTTCATGTGTTACATTTTACTCGCCTGTTTTTTCTCAACCAGATTTCTTTTTAGGTTATATGTTCATAAGGTGTGTCATTTCTGAATATTTTTCTAGGTTTTTCATTAGCTCAAGTGTCTTCCTTTGAGGTATTTTTATCCACATCGTCAGTCAGTCAGTATTCTTAGAGAAAATATTTTCCATTGGATCATAAAGGCTCTTTATATATATATATATATATATATATATATATATATATATATATACCTGTTGATTGGCGTCTCATCAGCATACTTGCACAAACCCCTTTTCTTGCCACTAAACGTCTTTAATGCAAGGTCAAGAAGTTCATTTGCTTGATTCTAAATTAGTTTTCATCCTAGAATAGATGAGATTATTTTTGATTGCAGCAGATGTATATCTTTCATTTTCTGTAACATACAATGTCGGAATTCCCATACCAATATCACTTCGTTTATAAATCTGTGGCGTGTATTATAGAAGATAATGAGTAGTAGTCAAAAACCACTGACGTCTATATACAGCAAAGTGAGAGTGATCTACATATCTTATTTTTCTAGTGTGGATTGTATAGAGCTAGTTATGGATAATATGCACCTTTCCCCGCACCCCCCCCCCCCCAAAAAAAGAAAGAAAGTTGTTGGTATAATTTTTGCCAACATGTAGGATAATATTCTTCAGTAAAAATGCATAAGAACATTTTAGGCACTTTTTATGTGGATATTTATCTGGATGGTAGTGAGTGGCTAGCAGTGGAATCTAAGACGTGCCTATCCGGGCCTCATTCAGTGATGATTAGCATGTGTATGTGTAAACCTTTCTTAATTAATGAAATTTGTTTTCTGTTGGTTTAAACCATGTTGGGTGAAGATGTGTGTGTATGTGTACGTAAATCTGTTTTCCTGGGGTCCTCGAGACATTAAAACCCTATGAATGGAGACTCTCTCTCATGCAATTTAAAGTTGTTTTCAATGAAGCAAATGCATTTACTCTTTGTGGTCTCCTGAATCTGTTGTATAGTTATTCTTTCCCCCTTCCGCATCAATTTCTACAGACTACCTTTGTAAGCTTTTGTGAAGTGTACCAATTTGAAAATTCAATCCAATCACATTTGAATTAACGATTGATTTCTTTTACTTTTGGTTGCATATTTATTAAATATCATACTTATATTACCGTGTGTGTGGCTGTTTAATTTTTATTAATAATTAAAGCTTTATAAAATAAAATGTACTAATTGAGTGAATAGGACAAAAGATGTATCAGATAATGGTTACTAATAACGTTTTGTACTAGCCCCGAGTGTTCCATCTATTCTTAAGTACAAATATGGGGTCACTGTTCTTAGTATCTATTATCCTATTGGTTTTTTTATTGTTTTAATAAAGCGAATGAAGGTTAGTTTAATGAATACAAGCTTGCATTAATTTATTCTCCTTTATAGTTTTTAGACAATATGCTGTTCTACTTTATTTGATAATAATTATAATAAGTATCTTTATTCTTCTGTCGTTATCAGTGTTAATGGGCGTATCTGATAATTTCTGTCGTAAATTGAGGTCCAAACAAATGACAAAAAAATTTTTAAAAACTTTTGCTTATCAAGCAATTTCACTATCCATTCAGTTATTTCAATTTTCGTTTCTTTTATACATATTCTTACACACATGTATATACTTTAACTGAGGAAGATCATATGGTGTTTCAAACTGAAAAATCTGCCTTCTGACGATTCACGCGATATCTAACGTGATATTTCGGAGTGTTACTGTCGTCTAACCTGACTACAGTGAATATCTAGACACAACACTATAACTGACTGGTCACTTAAAAATATTCCGCACACTGAGATAGACAAAAAAAAATCAGATTTAAGTGTGACAACCAAAGTCATCAGTGAGTATCTGTCATCAGATTCTACTTGGTGGATGGGACACTTCTGATCTCAACTTCTTACTTGAACTCTATAATCTCCATCTTGTAGTCAGTCACTAGTGTGTTGTAGCAGATTCCTATTCATTCACCTCCTGAAACCAATATTTTGTCGGCTGGTGAGTATCTCAAAGGAAAGTCATCACAGAAACCTGTGCATATTGTAGAAGAGAAGTCACAGGTGATTGCGTAATACTGTCACTACAGTGATGTCATAACCTGTTGCGCATGCTTTGTTGTACATTAAAATTAATCTTGGTAGCTTCAACGAGATCTAATAGTCTGATATTATCAACGTCTATGAAGTAATAAGGAAGATTTGTAGCTTTAAATGAGGCTGGCAATTGTTATTTTTTCTTTTTGTTCATAAAAAATTAGTGCTAAATGATGTCACTATAGTCAAATAAACAGAATCGTAAACAGTTTTCGTATTAAAGTCCTGTTTAGGCCACAATATATGCTTTCACACAAATTTAGGATTAATTGTCACGATAATGAACACTATTCAGTAATGTTGAACATCTGTATACTTGTTGTAATTAATTAATTAATCATCTTTTGTAGTCTTGCTTCAATTGAACCTTTTATTATGTATTCCTCCATTTGTTGATTCTTATAGCTTCTAGTTTTCTGTATTTACTTTTTAATACATTATAACACGTAAGCATTCATGTCACTTATTCATATTTCCATGAGTAGCAGTAAATGCGATTGTACAGCTTTTGAAAATGAAATCGCCGAAAAGATATCTTTGCTGAACTTCGTGTTCTCTTCTTTGTAAAGAGTTTACTCACATTTCTCAACATATTTTACAATTTATTCATAAATGAATTCATCCTAGTGCCTAGAGCTAGTAGTTTCTCGTTGGTTTAGGCGCTAGACTTTTTATCACTGGATAATGGGTTCGAACTCCGTTCCACCTATCAAAGTTCAGCCAGTCGAGTAGTAGTACTATACGTTTTCATACGATAATTGTCGTTGCTCATTGATAAGTGCATGTAAATGCTACCAGTTGTTAATCAAAGGCATAAACAAACTTGTAGTTAAAGACAACCTCACTCGCAAACGCAGTCTCACCTTCAGGTGCGAAGAATAAATAAAACTAAGAGTTAGGTACCTTTTATTCTTTTTTAAGATAATAGGTCTTAGTGTTTTTTTTTTGTGTACACACTTCACAACAGTAAATTTAACATTCCAACATGTAAATTGAATATTCCCATATTTTATTCCAGTATGTCTTCTAATGCTGCATATTGTACTAATGTGAGCATTCAATTCCACATTTGGGTAGAGAGATTGTGTACCCAGTAAACGTGTTTTATTATTTCGTAAATTTGCTGAAGGCTTTTTCCCACTTATTGTTATTACTTTTTAAAGGCTTGTCGAGGTGCAGCTTTCGATAAAGGAGTTTCTACTATGGTGACGGATGCCAGTGGAGACTTGATAGTACACAAATTGCCAATAGAAGCGGATATACTAGTCGCATATTCCACAGTCCCAGGTAATTGACTCTTATTCCCTGGTAGTTATTTCTTGAAATTTGACTTACTCGTTATTCGCTCTGAAGGTAGTTTTCTGTTAAACGTCTTTCTTTACGTTCATCTCGTTTTTCGTTGCAGATTTCAATATCAGTATTATTTATATCTTCTATGGTGTATATTCGCAGTCCTTGGAAGGAAATAGCGTACACACATTATGCATGGAAATAAATCGCGTTGGTTTTCTCGTTTGGTAGCTACTATTCTGACGTTGTGGTCGGGCTTGCATATCTCAGTGCCCTAACGAGTTACACTGTCTGAAACAAGTGTTGAGTCCGAAAAGTGTACATTCTGACTTACCCTATTGTGGTCGATAGGCAGCGATAAGGTCTTCATACGAATACACTACTCTAAAATCCACTTCAAACAGGTTATTTGTGAGTAATCGTAAGCACTTGTCCTCTCACCTCTGCGGTTACGCAGCACTAATTCTCTGTCTGTTTCTACTGTTTCATAAATAACGAAGCTTCTACGGTGCGGGGAGCTGGTAAGTAATAACCACACAAAGCCTACTTGTCCATCAACTCATCTTCAATTCATTCATTAAAAGTCATGCAATTGAATGTGTGTATTTGTTAATGACGTGGCTAAATGCCTGACATCTACATTGTGTACAAATACAGACAGAATATCGGGGGCTCCATGGTAGAATGCTCGTCAACCACGCACGTGGTTGGTTCGACCCCCACCGACACACTTCCAAACCTTGCTTAGGCGGTAGCCAGCTCAGTAGAGAGGGAAAGTTGGGTGTGAGACTATATACTGGATATCTCAAGGTAGACGTAGTCGCGAGTCGATTCTAGTGAAACAGTTATTGGAAGCAATCGGGCACTGGTTTCCTCCTAGTTCGGGATTTCCTAGGGTTTTAATCAACAGTTGTGACTGACAGGGTTCACCAAGTCGGATGTAAGGAGAGATTCTTAGTGATGGGACTCTATCGCTACTGAATGAATTGTATTTATGCCCACGTTGTAACCCTAAGATACCGGGGTTCATTACCAGTGGTGTGCACTGCCAAATAGTCTCAAACCAGCAAGAAACGGATGTTCAGTACTGCATGGTTTCAAAGGTTTCGTAACTGATGTCAGTTCGTAACAAAGTCTACATATTCGATTACTTATCAGTATCTCAATGATACTAAGGTTGTCGAATTCCAATCGTCAGGCATGATGACGTCAACTGTTGAAAGTTTTGTGGGTGTTTTTTCTTTGTGAGACTGTAATTGAACTCATTCATCAAACATCGTAATTTCTGTTTTACTTTATGATATGATTTTCCTCTGCAGGATTTTTTGCCTGGCGTAATTCGTCAATGGGTAGTTGGTTTATTCAAGAATTGTGTAATGTTCTTGAATCGGACATGAAAAGAGTGAATCATTCAGATATCATGACACTGCTTGCAGTTGTTGCACGTGTAGTAGCCTATCAGTATCGATCAAATACAGGTATGGTAGAGACAGACAATATGAAACAAATGACCAGTACTGTAAGCACCTTAACTCGCCTATTTTATATAACTGGACCACCACCGTCGTCAGCAGCAGGGAATAATGTTCAGTCGACGATGTGATGAAGTTCCCACAATTTGCGCACATTTGTTTTTGATATTTTATACAAACATAAATGATAAATACTCTGTAATTCCTAACAAATAAATCAATACTAGTGAAAATTGATACAACTATACAGGATGGATGAGTGAGTGTTCAGCTAGTTTCAAGTCAACTTTCGTTTTTTGCTAAACAACACTATCGCTGCACATAGTTGATTACCTTAAATGCCTTTTTATATTTTGCTTAGATGATCTTATCATTACTTATTCTTGTATGAAATGCTGTTGTCTATTCTATTTCTGAAAGTTTTAAGTCAGTTAAAAAGATATTGTAAATTTTCAACTTTTTCCCACCTCCTGCCTACCTATAGACAGATGACCATATAGCCCGTGTAGGAGTGCCTTTACTCCAATATTGTTCACAGTGATGTTGTGTTTAATACTAATTAAAATTTCTCAATTATGCCTCATGAACTGAATCACTTCTTTCCAAACAAGTTAACGTGCATTTGTATGTTGGTGACTACCGAAAGACACTTTCCGTCTTGTTTGCAACTCGTCAGCTGGATGTATCTGCATGTGAGTGTACCGTAGTGGTGTTTGCGCTGAGACTCAGAAACTTATCTCCCTATCGTTCTATATGGTAAAGCATTATTCACTAGCTTAACAACGAAAGTCACTTACTACTGTATTCACTGAAATTTGTTATTTGTCGCCGTTTTGTTGCAATTAGACTGCTGCTGGATTCAACATAGAACTTGGCACCGAAGTGCAGCAGTTCCAGTTGCCACCTTCCAAATAGCACACAAAGGAAAATGAGAGAAGAGAATCAATAGAATTTAGATAAGTATAAGAGTGAAACAGAATGAGTAATGGTAGAAAGGAATATGAAGGTTAAAGAGACTGAATACATCTGCGCCATTGACAACGATTTTGAGCCATGTCACCTATTGTCTCCAGCCATTGATTCTTAGAGTCCCGAGGGCCCCAACCCGGAAGTCTGCATCTCCCTACCTGACTCAGTTTAACTGTCAAGGATTTCATGCATTGATGCCATGTTTTTATTTGGCCACCACTTACTCTTTTCCAACCTGCACCTATATCAGCCAGTAATGCCCGTCGGGGGAGGCGATGGTTAGGCATGCGCAGCACGTAACCTAGCCATCTCAATCTATGTAACTTTATAGCCTCTTCGATTGATTTTCCCTCTTTGCCCAACACTCTACGCCTAACGTCAACATTACTTACCTTATTATACCACCTAACGCGAGAAAGAGATCGTAAACATCTGTGGTCAAAAACAGACAATCTCTTCATGTCTTCCGCTCTCAATGGCCACGTCTCACCACCATAGAGAAGGACGGAGCGAACTGCTGAGCAGTATACACGTCCTTTGGTTGATAGCCGGATGTCACGCCTACGCCAGAGACGGTGTAAGTTAGCGAAAGCAGCCCGAGCTTTCTGGATCCGTCCTGAGATTTCGTCACCAATCAATCCGTTGGTGCTGATACAACTTCCCAAATAGGTGAAGTGGTCAACATGTTCTATCACTTCAGTCCCTATCACTAAGCTAGGAGTTGACGTAGTGCAGTCCTGTAGCAGCATCTTACATTTTACAGGGGCGAATCGCATGCCAAACATACGAAGATTGCTGCTCAAGGTGTTCAGAAGACTCTGCATTTTGTCAGCATCCTCCCCTAACAGGACTATGTCGTCTGCATATCCTTAGTCTATAAGACTATTCCCTGGTAACAAGTCGATTCCTAAGTCGTTAAGTTCAGTTAAGGATACTTCCATTAGCATATCTATGATGAAGTTAAACAGAAAAGGGGAAAGTGGACATCCTTGATGGACACCACTGGTTGTTATCAATTCGGATGACAATTCCCCATAAGCCCTTACATGGCTACGTGAGTTTGAGTAGAGTGCCTTGATTAGTGCAATGTACTTTCTTGGCACTCCCTTCACAGTCAAACATTGCCATAGTATCTCTCGGTCCCCGGAGTCGAAGGCCGCTTTCAAGTCAAGAAATATGGCAATTGTTGGACGCCTAAAAGTGTGTCTATGTTCTAGGATCTGTCGGAGAGTGAAGATATGATCTATGCACCCTCTACCTGGCCTAAAGCCTGCTTGATTTTCCCTCGTTTGTTCCTCCCGAGTTCGGCTTAGTCTGTTCATGATTACTGAGCCTAGGGTTTTGGGCTGATTCCTCTATGATTATCACATGAGGACTTGTCTCCCTTCTTGAATATTGGTATAATAAGTGACTTACCCCAATCTGATGGAATCGTCTCTGATTCCCAGACGTTACCTAGTACCTTAGTTAAACTATATACCAGTATGTCACCCCCATATTTAAACACCTCCGGAATAATTCCGTCGGGTCCTGCCGCTTTGCCTCGTTTCAAATTACAGATAGCTTTGGTGACCTCACTTACAGACGGCGGACCAGTGTCTATATCCCATTCGGGTGTGTGCTGGATGGCGGGGAGGCTCAGTGTGGCTGTAGGCAAGTTAAATTGTTCCTCAAAGTGTTCCTTCCAGTGTTCAAGGCGTCTATCCTGAGAGCTAATTAAGGAGCCATTTTTCTCAGAAATAGTCTCACTTATGATTTGCCTTCTCCCACCCGTCTCCCTGATGAGTCTAAAGAGTTGCCTAGTGTTGCCTATCGCCGATGCTTTTTCCATCTCTTTCGCCTTTGTCAACCACCACTGTTCACGGTCCTTGCGGAGACCTTTCGTAAGTTTCCTTGAGTGCAGCTTTCGTTCCTCATTGAATTCGGAGCTCGCCGGAATAAGTCTTCTAGCATCTATCAGTTCGGATGAGGCAGTCGAAATCCAATGGTTTTTGCTCACCTTTGGATTTACCTTATTCACAGCTTTTACAGCTGTATCTATGGCTGACTGAATATTCTTCCAGGCTTCTTCAGGGTGAGCGCAGCTGTCGAACTCAGATATGTGTTTAGCTAGTTCTTCCTCAAATAGGGACTTAGTTTCCTGATCAAGCTGGGGACGTGATGGGTTTACCGCTAGCTGTTTCCTACGTCCGTTCAGTCGTAAGCACACACGAGCGCGGACCAGTGCGTGATCGGTATCTACACACGCGTTCCAGAAGGAGCGACAATCTCCTACCGACCCACGCCAACGATAGCTTATTGCTATGTGGTCTATTTGTGTCCAGCGTTGGTTTGATGATGGGGGTCGCCAGGTCAAACAGTGTCTTTCCTTGTGTTTGAAGTTAGTGCTTACAAGAAACAAGTGATTATCTGAACAGAACTGTAGGAGACGGTCACCGTTGTCGGTTCGCTGGCACGGAATTCCGTATGTGCCACCGACATTCTTCTCAGATTGACACAATTTCCCTACTTGAGCATTAAAGTCACCAGCTAAAACGACTATATCTGAGCGTCTAGCCTTTCGCAGCAAACTGGACAGCTTTTGGTAGAACTCATCCTTCGTTTCATCCAAACTGCAGTCAGTGGGGGCGTAGGCGGAGATTACGAAAAGGCATCGGCGAGTAGTGCAGTCCTTTCTCCTTTTCACTGATCCATTCAGACGGACAGCACACATTCGGCTATCTACCGGGATCCAGTCAAGTAATGTCTTTTCTGCCCTAGTACTCAAAGCTATCCCAACACCAGCTAATCCTCGTGAGCTAGCTGTGGCATCTCCTGACACCCTCAAGGTGAATTTCGCAGATTCATCTTGTTGGCCAGGTGGGGTTAGGTGAATAACCACACTTGGGTCTTGTATGTGTGTTTCTGAAACACAACATACATCAATGGCTCGGGATGCCAGAGTCTTGGCTAGTGATGCTTGTTGTCCTATTTGGCAAAGTGTCCTAACATTAAATGTTCCTATATGAAATTGGTGGCGTGGCTTTAGGAGACTATCGATGGTGGTTTTTTGGCTTCCGTCGTTTTCAGTGCACACAGAGTGAAGAGGAAGTGAAGAGCCATTAAGTAGAGGAGTTGCATTGGTAGAAGGAAGGCAAGATAATAGAGGTGAAGATGGATACAAAGATGCAATTAGACCGAAATAACTGGCTCTTAGTCGGCACGTACCTATACTCATTCGTGTTCTTCAAACTTAAATGTCAGCAGAAGGCATTCATCATCATTTTAGACGTATGTAATTCACGCAGAAATATATTAAATTATCACAGCCCTTACTAGTACATAGATAAGGAATCAAGGGTTGAAAAATCAGATGAAATGAGCGGAAATTATTGTATTTGGTAAAGAGCACTTTCCTTAAGCCTTACTATTTTTATTATATTGTTAAGTAGAAATTCACAGCCTTAGACACTGGCTTAAATTTGGTGTTTGAAAACTACTCCTAACTAACTTCAGAGTTTCCCAACTATATATTAACCTTCACTAGACAAGTAATAATGCGTTGTATCTCCTCACTGGTATTAAAGTGTTTTGTACCGAAGATAACTACGACATGAATTTGTATCAGGAAAGACAGACTATTTGAACGAAAACACGACGAAACTAATATACTTTCAAAAGAGATAATAAACAAGTAGCTTAGAAGTCTTAAATTTCAGGGGGAAGCCAGTGTTACAGCACTGAAAGTAGTGGTTTATTATAAATATTGTTGTGCGTGTGTGTGTGGTTGGCTTATACCACCATGCGTAAAAAGACAACACGTAGCTTTCAAGGCAAAGATTACTCTTCTTCAGCCAACTTAAACTATGTCGTCTTTAAACTAAACTATAACAACACCGTTTGTGAATTTCTGTCAATTTCGGGATTGTTCTACTTTCTTTGTTGTATGAGGATTATTCAAAATAGTAGTTCAAAAAAGGCGTGTATGTGCATAAGTGTTATGTATGAAATTAGTACATAATTATTTTATTAGAAAAAGCATGATATAATAATTAAATATTAATATCTGAGTGATTTATAAAAGCTATTTCAAAATCTGTGTTTCTTACGTTTAGTATGAAAAAGAATTGAGCACCAGTTACTGTAAAAAAAATTAACTGAATAGTGCTTTATATATGTCCAGATCAAGTTCACTTTTAGGAGTTACTGCTTTTAAAAATATCGTCAATTTTATGCTGAAAATGTCAGTCAAATGTTGGTTTTTCCTTTATTCTTCTTCTTCTTCACTTCTCCGTAACGTATAGACTCGGTGCACACACAATGTCCCGGTATATCAAACTCTTAGCTTCTTCCATTTTCAAACATAAGTCATGATTACCAATTTGACGGCAAACACCACATATATGCCGAATTAATTCGTCCAACTGTAATAATATTTTAATCAATAGGCCTTCTGGTAGATCACATTTACTTGTCGCTGCGTATAATGAATGACCGTTAGCCCATTTATAGACAGCCGTCACTGGGCATAGATCTAATCGTGTATCAGAATACGATTCAGCCAGCTGGTGTTGGCGTTGCATAATTTCCAACTGCAATTATTTTGTATTTAAGAAAAATAAGAAGAAAACAATTACATAAATGAAAGTAATCGAGACAGAAGGTGAAATTATATCTAGGGTCCAACTAGTCAGTATGCGGTCTGACTACGGCAGTAAGCAAGACACACATATCAGATTATTAACTTTTATATGGTATGAATCATCGTGGTGAGGCCACTAGGTGTATGTAATGGACAATGATACAATATATTGTCCAGTACATAGTGTTGACTATCAATGGGTGAAATCTAAAAGAAGTTACCCCGTCTCCACCTAAGTGGCTAGGCAGCATCATTTCAGCTATAGGGAGGAGGCACTTATGAGGATATCAAAACCTGTCACGACAAGAAAAGCAAGACACACCTTCATTACTCTGAAATCAGTGTGGGAATCTTACTGCATTCAGAATAAGTAACAAGATACTGATTTTCAACACTAACGTGAAGTTTGTCAGTGCTTCCATATGGTTTTAGGAGAATTAGCGCGCTCGCCACCAAAAGCTATTTCAACAAGTTACTACTCTAGACTTTCATCAACAGCTGCCTTCGCTCTATTCTGAACATCAAATAACCAAGAATCTGTTGCTCAGCAAGTATGTAGAAGGAAGTGAAATTGGATTAGGCATACGCTAAGGAGACCTTCAAGTAATATTGTGTGCCAGGCTGTCGAGTGGAACTCGAAAGCAAAAAGACGAGTTGGGAGTACGGAAGATAGTGTAAAGAGGAAATTACAGCTTATGACCAATCATCAAGCCAGACTGTAGAGAACAGAGTGGCATGGAGATGTGCTGCTGAAACCCTATGGTTCCATTCGGAACCCGAAGGAAATGTACCACTAATAAGTATTGACCGAATTCAATTTTGTAGTCAATTGTAAACTTGACTGGCAGAACTGCTGTCAGCACTAAGGATTAAGCAATACTGGGTTCCTCACATTTTCGTGATAAGCCTATGCATCCCCAATATAGTCCCTGAATGGCGCGTGTACATATTCTTCAGCAATATTAGTGGATCCTTTGACGTTGCAGACTGGTCTTGCTGACGAGTATTAGCTAACTCTACCAGAGGCTTCCTGTTGATCGTCTCCTATATTAGAGTTTTGTTTATGATAGGACAATTATTTTATACGCTTGAAATAGGACATAGCAACAATAATTACTGAACACAAGGTGTTCTTTTCCTGATAACCTATCCACTAACTTGTTAATATTAGTAATGGCCTCTTTAAGATTGAATATCAAAACTGGGTACTCATAAAACTGATCATACAGGTTTTAGAAGAATCTTTGATTACAGCTGATAAACTTGCGGTGAACCCACTACCTACGATCCAACTGATGTGAAGCCCTGCAGTCTGCTGCTAAAGACAAAACCCTGATATCTTGACAGACGTTGTTCTAAAAGTGTAACACGCTGAGTTATGGGTATCGCTGTTCAGCAGAACAAGTATTGATTCCAGCCGTTTTAAAAAAGGGTGTCAGTGAAAACTGTAAATCATCGGTACTGTAGATTATCATTTCCAATAAAACCGATTTGCAGAAAGACAATTTTGAACTGCACTACCAAAATCTTGAATTTGCAAATGCGAAAGGAATACTAGACGGTCAAGCATGTTTCCTAACGGTTAACTCAAAAGTTACATAACAAGATTGTGTCTCACATAATAATAAAAGTTTACTACTGACTTACCTTATAAACAAAGTTCAAAATCTTTTTAAATACTGGAATTAAATGATTCGGAATGTAATTCAAATCACTTTTGCTATCCCAATTATCGCTATGGATTTCTCTGAGCAAGTTGTGAAGATAGTCATGTGACAGTTGACTTGTTAAAGTGGACTGTCTCATTTCGTTAACAAATGCGGACAGGACAGCTGCTATTTGAGGTGCTAAAAGATCATCGAACAATCCGTCGAATAAAAGTTCCGTTATTATAACTTCCCTTTTTGTTAATTCACATGCAACTAGACCTATAGAAAGAAATTTTTAAAAAAGATCTCAGTCACACTTGTTCTGAGGGGATAAATTAGCAATCTATTACACAAAATGATCACTATAACATCATACCGTTGCAACTGGCAATAGCATCAATGGTTACTGTATCTTATATGACACACAGAGAGAATACATTAGTAAAACACAGCAAGTATATACTCCCTACGAAAGGCTAGTGATTCACTGTTCCCACATGTTGTTGGTAATCCTGCTCCCAGTCACTGCAGGTTTACGCGACACAGGGAGTATCTACATATATACCAATTCGGGTGTAGGCACACCATGGCCAGTGAGTTGAATGAAGATATGGTGTGTCATCATAAAAGCCTACATGTAACTGCACATCAAAATTACTTTTTAATAAATGTAACAAACTGTGAAAACAATAAAAAAAAAACTGTCAGTTGAGAATCGTACGAATAAATTATATATGTGTTTTGATGACATTTCTGTAAAGCGTTCGTGTTAAGTAGAACACAGTTACACAGAATAGATTTTGTATGCAATACACAAAACGCTACAATTATTATTTGAAGCAAATCTTGCACAGTTCACACTCGAGGCCTACTGAAAGAGAACCTGGTGCTTGAGCCTCAATAAGCTAAACATAAATGTTTGAAGAGAGAGACAACAACTACAAAGAATCAGATGAACGGACAAACATACGCTGAGCAGAAAAACTCACATGAATTGAAGGTAACTCTAAATGAAATGAACTACAGTTGTGCCAAAAAAACACAACAACTTAAAAATTCATGAATTCTGCTAAGGTGGTATGACACCGACTACCTGTACTATAGATTTAATGATCAGCTAACCAAACACTTTAATTGATTTGCCTTATACAGTAATGCTAAATTGATTTCATGATTTCAGTGTCATTTTAGAGATCATTTGCAAATTCGACTAGTTTTCAGATCAATTGTGACTAATACCTGTTAGCCTAACCACAAGAATAACTACATGGGAAAACAAAAAATCATTAAAGTGCTACATGCATTCATACATACACACATCCACAAAGCATTTAACAGGTTGTTGGTATACACAGCAGTGTCAAAGCAAAAAAAGTAATTCATTACTCCAATGTCTAGCTGACTGATTAGCTTCAAGTATACCATTATCACGGATTGTAGTGGTAGTCTGTACCGGAAACTAACATACGGTACCAATATATAAATACATTGATCAACGACATAGAGTATAGTGTAGATTCATTATAAATTATTTAAATTAATCCCAGATTGTTAAGAAAATCAAAACAAGATTTTTCTGAACGTTTCACTGTGTAAGCCATAGCTTCTTCAGCAGATTTATGAAGAAGCTGTGGCTTACACAGCGAAACGTTCAGAAAAATCTTGTTTTGATTTTCTTAACAATCTGGGATTAATTTAAATAATTTATAATGAATCAATCTGACTCGGCGCTTAAATTATTCCAGGAAGTTCGTAACACCTACGGCCTTGAAACCTATATAGTGTAGATTGCCTGATTAACGTTCTACAAATGCTGAGTACCAATACTAAGAGGATTTTGGTGACATGTGTAGAAATCGAACCCAATAACACACAAACACTTTTCTATAACCGATATTCTGAGCATCTACAGAGAAATGATGTGTTCTGGTTAGTTTAGGTAAATCGACATGGTTCATTATCATAATTACAGATGAGTAGTAGTGTGAATGCACTACTATTGCAAAGACAGAAGACAACGGCCAGACAACAGATCGTTTATTGAGAAAAACAACAGATATTTATAGATTTCCATGTACATTATTATTCGTTATTGTTAGCAGAGAAGCAACGTCTCCTTATTGCTTGCTATCTTGCTTGTGACCGTCTCCTAGAAAGTTAAACCATATATCTGCGAATCGTATTTGCACGCGTTAAGTCTGCTGTGATTGGTTGGTGAGTTATTGTTTTGCTCATGACCCTGATTCGGGACGTAACATTGACGTGAATTGCTGTCTACAATTTTGGCTTGTTCCCAGCCAACTCTCATCACACTATTGTAAGTACAGACATACTCCTATTGTTTGTTTGCCTGGCAAAATATCGTTCTGTCTTACTCAACAACGCTCAAAATCAACTCAAATACTGGAAAGAGTAAACCTGTTTATTACAGAGTTACAAATTAAGGCAAAACATCACTTGCCTTTCAGACTAAGAACGCAACTGTCTGCAGTTGAATTAATGAATTTCAATTCCTTTAAAATATTTAAACGACCGGTATATTCTCTATCTAGCGTGAGTTTGAAATCTGCCAAGCTCTTTTTAATTTTCTCCACTGTCTGTCTCCGACGAAATGTTCGGTGAGCTAGATATAAGTGGGCTGATAAATTTGGGCAGTCATATAGACTTTGATTTTGAGCATAGACTAAATTTGAAAGAGATGTAGTAAGCTCATCACTCAGTGCTGCATATTCATCAAGTATGGAAGTATTCTAAAATATTATGAATATTACAATAAGTTCATTGATAAATTATTTTTTAAGATTCATACTTTATTTTGTGTTTATGAACAAACATTATATTCAGATAAACATTTCACTCTATAACTTCAATTGGGAATTTTATCAGGAAACAAGGGCTGGACGATTTATCATCTTACGATGCTCGTTCGTTTAAGACTTAAAAAAGAAAAAGTCAGCACAAGTAAATCAATCACGTGCTTATTATGAGTTAAATAAACTTTGGACAGTAAATTGTACTAGTTACAACACGAACGTTACACTGTTCATACTCTGCTTACTAATAATATCTTTAGTGGAGTGCTGAAGAATACTGAGTAGAAATGATAACGCCTTTGACAACCCCAGAAAATACAGCGGAATTTCATAAATGTTTTAAATACCCATTTTTGCTCTTCTCTGATGGCAACAACCAATTTTCATCTACTTAATTCCTAGAGAATCTCGACTAGCCCAGAAAAGAGGGGGGTTCGGGCGTTGAGTTAGCGATATAAACATCAATAAAGGAAATCAAAAGTACAGAAAAAACAAACTCATCTTTTACTAGAATCAGGGGTGATGAATGACATCAGCTGGTGAAACCCTTCCGCAAACCAGCCAACCTATGTGCCTTTTTTCGATGAAAGCAAAAGTAAGCATAAGGTCATGGAATGTCTACACCGCTTTTAGGGCAGGCTCGCAAAGATGCTCAGTCTGATGTTGAAATGTGATATGACATGGAAATGTTACGAATCTGTGACGACAGATGGAACGGAAGTGGATCCTCCGAACTGCTAACTGGAGAGTCAATAATCTACTCCGGCCACCAAGACGACAACCAAGAGCGCACAAGGGTGTGTGGTCATCATGATGTCACCGACAGCCTTAGAAGATTTTGTGCAGTGAGAACCATCGGAATAGTGACAGCAAGAATCAAATCAAAAGAAAGGAAAATTACATGTATGCGGTGCTACACGCCTACAAATAATGCAGATCACAAATACCACCGAAATCAGCAGACAGAGAACTGGCAGGGATTACCAATCTTCCGATAAGTACAGAAGTCTTGAAAGCCATAAAGTTACTAAAAGACAGGAAAGCAGGAAGACCCGACGAGATCACCCTATAGATACTTAAAACAGATCCAAAGACCTCAGCTGAAAAGTTCATGATACTATCGCACAGGTGTGGAAGGAACGAAAGGTGCCTAGGAATTGGACGAGAAAATCTACCTTGTTAAATGTATGAAATAACGCGGAACCATGCTCCCGTCCACCATAGACAAAATATTGAGGTGTATCTTCCTAGAAAGATTGAGAGATGACCTGGATGAAAAACTGCGTCTAAAACAGAATGAATTCAGGAGCAATAGGATATGAGTAGGTGTAATTGCAACACCATGCATCGTCATCATCAAATAGGTCATAGAATAGCAGTCAACACTCTGCATCGATTTTCGAAAACGTTTCGACAGCGTTAATGACGAAGTAGTCTGAAAACTACTCAAACTCTACAGAGTGCAGAGCAATAAACATTTATAACCCTCATTCAACAGCTACATGATAGTACCACATCCCAAGTAATTCACAACGAAAAACTCAGTGAAGCCTTTGTCGTAGAGACCTAAGAAAGACAAAACTGCCCATTATCGCTGATAATGCTCCTAATTATGGTGGACTGGATCGTGTGGAAGACCATGGGGATCCAGAAGACGGCTATACGTTGGACTGACAAAGAGACGCTAGAAGATTTCAATTTCACAGATGGCGTATATCTCTTGTTTCAAAAATTGAAAGATTTCAAAGTGGAAACCAACAAGTCGGAAGAATAGGCAAAGAAGATAGGACCCCAGATGGACATATTGAAGACAGTGGTAATAAAAGTTCTCAACCAACAACAACAAGACTAGAAGGCCGGCCAGAAAAGATAAGCTACTAAGAATTCTGACAGCAAAACTACCGAGAACTTATCACCCAACAAATACACATGGAAATGAGGTGGATTGGGCATATGCTGAACATAACTTCAAGTAACATTATAAGACAAAATTATAAGACAAACCCTAGAGTGGAAACAGAATGAGAGGCATTCAATTAGACGTCAAAGGGGAACATAAAGATAATATGAATTGGAAGTGAAAGCTTGCAGAAAGAGAACAGATTGTGACGTGCCACTGAGAAATCCAAGAAACGACCAATAATAATAGGTAATATTAGCTTAGTTATGTAATGAATTTAGTTTGCAGGCTCGATTCATGACGTTATATTTACACGTCTTTTGTTATCACTTAACTTTAAATGTTCACGTAGTAAAACCTCAAAATCGAAGAATGTGATTACCAAAACTGAAGAATTCAGGCGATGAAATGATTTATTCAGACCACATGTATTTCAAAGTAACAGTGCAGTCTAATATGGTACATGATGGCTAACCATGGGGATCCAGGATACGCGCTTCGTGACGTATGAGCTATAAATAGCACAGTAATCCTTACCTTTAAATTCAGTGTTCAAGAGAAGTAACTTCTATGTAAATTTTTAGAAGACACTATTTCAAAGAATGTTTACTGAACAAAGAATATACTTTTCGATAACTTCGTCATCAAGTTCTACAATTATATATACATAGTAGCTAAATGTACCGTTCACCAGCTGAGTCACTTCAGGTGTAAAGTAAATTGACAAATTCAACGTTTAACTACTTATTAGTTTCTAAGTAGTTAAATAACCTATGTCAATTTTACGTAAAGTTATTAATGCTGTCCATATAACAATGTTCAGCCGATGATCTAGGAATTTCTCAGTAAGTGATCCATTCTGAATGAGTCTAAAAAAATAATTCCTGTCCGAACTCAGATCAACAGTGTTGCATTATTCGTCAGTTTCCAGTGTAATATTTGTGATATATTAGTAGAGATTCGGTGAAACTGGTAGTTATAATTTTATTTCAATGGTTTGTTTACACACGCACATTACGTGTAAACAACCAACCACATAGCAATCAATAGCCGAGATAATTGGCTTACGGTTTTTAAGATTATTTAGATTGCTTGTAACTGAGATTCGACGGCTGAAATCCCAGTGCGTAAACCGATAAGACGCACACCTCCACTGTTACTCGTTGCACTATTAGAAATCATCATTTTTTGCAGTCCTCCTATGGTAATAAAACAGCTATTTCAATGAAAATGAATATGCACTAAGCTCTGATAATCATCAAAAATAGGTGACAACGTAACACATTAGATTGTTAACAGAATGGAAATGTAACTTATTAAGTATCCGCAGTTCATTTACCATGAAAAGATATTCCAGATAATTAATACAGTCAAAACTATAAGTGTTACTTGTGGCGACAGTATATTTAAATGGTAGGTTAACACGTGTTTATGATAGGAACCAACTCACTGACCAGAAAGCTCGACCTGAAACTTTGATACCACTGGATCGAATCCTGCTTCTGTGACTGTGATGTTTCATCTCACCCCACAATTACTCCTCCCTCACCTAAAACCCAAACCACTATTTGATTATATGAAAGTCACTAGAAAAATGAGAATTGTTTTGTTTAAAGGACCGGCTGAAAAAATTCAAGCCAATTTCCAACTAAACAATCAATTTACCATTACTGATACGTACAAATACAGTCGACCCCAACACCAAGAACTAAATGCCTAACACTGGTTACCACCTAGGGATCGATCAATATGTCCATCAGAGTCTAACAGGAAGTCATTTGTGAGCTGGAACTGCTCAGTTGTGATATATCTCACCACAGTCATCAGTTCCTTCATGGTGAGATATACACTTTACTGAAGAGAAAAGGTTTGGCGTGGGGTTTCCAATTACACCCTATATAAACATAACCCCCATCACCACTGAGAGCTCAAAACAGTTAACATTGCTAGTTATGTTGTCTAGTCAGCATCTTGCATAAACAGTAATCTTTTTTCTGCGCAACTGGTAAACATACTTTTTAACGTAAACACAAATTACACAACCTACCTCTCCCTTATTTCCATAATCATTAACAACTTGGTCAAAGTCCAAATGCTTGGGCATACTTCTTAAAATCCCACTAATTGTAGACTTAGGTGACGAAAGCTTTAAATTCGGTGAATTGACAGAATTAAAAAGAGTCGTATTAACTTGATTCAACAAAACAAGTCGTGGATCAGAATTGTTGATGGCTGATTTGTCCGTCTTAAGTGTAGTATTCATTATCTGCTTATGCAGTTCCATAGCTTTTGTAAAACGATGTGAAATATCCATGTTTGAGGTGAATTTTGAATTTTCATTGCTCCCAAAGTCTGATTTAACAACCTGATCACAAAACCGAACTACTAGGTGAACAGGCACATTACATTTCAGCGTCAAACATGAATAGGCGTCTTCCAATGACTAAAAGGAATGAAGAGAAAAATGCGTAAAAGTGCGGGCTTTAATAAGTCGACCATTATTATTATTATACACAGTAGAATCGATTAATGAATACATATGTAACATTAGTCTTCGTCAAAAATACGTATCTTTGTTTCTTTACTCATCTGAGACCCTCATTTACCGTTTCACTTCACAAGTTAACTCCTAATCTACACAAAAGTCTGAAATATGCTGACGTTCCCTATCCACTGAAAGAATTGACTGTGAACTTCTGGAGGTGTTTTTCAACCTGATGAGATATGTATGTCAGATTCTTTTACATTAAAAGTATCTGATGCTCACTTGCAACTGGCTCTTTACAGGAAGTACCTGGGGTTCTAGTGAGACATTGTAACCAGCGGGGTCCACCAAGTCAGGCAAGAGGACAGTTACTTGCCCGCTACACTGGCTAGCGGTTGCACTATATATATATATATATATATATATATATAAATGGCAGAAGTTGGAATTCATGGAGCATGGGGTCGGGTGCAAGTGGCCTAATGGTCTACGAGCTCGCCACATAACCGAAAGGTCTTGCCTTCGAACCCCGGTGCGTGCGCAATGATGAAGAGTCCCAAAATAGGACGAAGCAGATGTCCAGTATTCCCAGGTTTTCCGATGGTTCCCTAACTGATATCAGCTTGTAATCATTCCCGTAACCAATGAAATCCCTGCAAACCAACACTTGATGATTTTGATAATTGTTGTTAACTGAACATTATTTGGTACAATGAGTGATTTGATTATTATGCAGATACTTCCATTCCTGCCAAGTAACCTCATGATAACGTGATCATTTAGGAAATGAAGTGAAATGTTTCGGAGACTAAATTAAGACCAAAATCATATTTCTGTAGTTAGCAATGATATTACAGAGAAAAAAACAGTGCCATATTAACTAACAATGCAGTATTCAAATAACCGTGAAAGCCATGTTGTGCGAATGCACTGCATGGCATATTATTGTTCTTATTCCCATAGATACAGAGTAGAACATAATGCTTCAACAACACATCTCCATTTCATCATGTTCTCTGCAGTCCTATTTAGCTAACTCCACAAATGCCCATAAGTGTTCAGTTCGTAAATATCACAATACAACGCCCAACACGTAGTACCACATTCAACTGTCCAACGTGTGATGTCACTCGATAGTTTCCTCAGCGTGTATCCCACCAATCTGCATATTCTTCGTCATATCTGTTGGCCTATGGATCCTTAGTTCGTTAGTTTCCAAAGTCCCTTGTTTTAAATCTTTTTGATAATTTGGTGTTCAGATTGGAGGGATAGCAGCCGTTGATAAAAGCCAGCATTTATTTGAATTGTTTTCGGCGATGCGCTAAGTCTCTAAACAACGTAGAAGAAGTGATCCTAATTTCGTTCTTTATGTAAACAGATTTCAGATTAATGAAGGCGTATCTTGCCTTTCCAATTCCGAACTCGACATCTACATCCGTTCCACCAGTATTTGAAACAGTGCTGTCTAGATAAGTGAACGAAGTGACCTCGTTCGAATTTCTTCCGTTGATAGGGATAGTGGTGCTTGTTGTTGTTGTTGGCTGGTCATCTACATCACCTCTGTGTTCACTTGAAGTCCCGTATTTGCTGTCTGCTTCTTCTGCCAACTTGTTGGCTTTCGCTTGTAAGTCTTCGAATTTGTGTGACATTAGACTAGACATAAATCGTCGACGTAATCCGGATCTTCTGAACGGTGGCCCAACGTATTCCTGTCGTTTCGCTCCCCATTCACACAGTGTTCCGCATAATCCAGTCAACCACAGTTAGGGATATAACAGGTGGTATTAGTCGGCTTTGCGTTACTCTTGCTTTTGCTTCGAAGGCTTCTCTGAGTTTTCCGTTGTGGATCACTTGACATGTGGAACACTCATATACTTGTTGAATTAGGTCGATGAAGATTCGGGCCACTTCGCTCCGTAGTGTTGAAGTAGTTTCCAACTTTGTCCACGGCCAACACTATCGAAGTATAGATGGAGATTTGACTGCCATTCTATGGTATTTTCGATGATGATGATGATGCATAGAGTTGCAAATTGATCCACACATGACTTTCCCTTCCTAAATCCAGATTGTTCCGTGTGTATTCTTGCATTTAGAGCATCATTTAGTGTCTGCAGGATGACTAGACTTAATATTTTGCTTAGTGTGAACAACAGCATGAGAATCCGTGTCACTTCTTGCATGGATCTAAGTCGTTGTTCTTTGTTAGTTTTACAAAGTAGTCTGATGCTTAAGTTCTTTATAAATGAAAGAAAATTAGATAAATTATAGCATTTGTATTCTGATTCACTTTGTTTGGGATATATTTGATTTTCTTTCTGCATATTTGAATACATTGATTTAGTTATTGTCATATATACCCACCATGATCAGAGAATAGGTTTTATTTGCAATGATGACATTTGGAAAAAAAAGTACAGAAGAAAAAGTTTAACCGTATAAGTGAATACACAAAACATGCCTTTTATTTTATTTACACATCTCCAGTAACGAAGCTTTTTGGCATGATAATGACTTCATAATAAGGCCATAGCTTCTCTTTACACAGAACTATGGTTCACTTAACTGCTAGGTTGTCGACATTTTTATCAACAGCATTGATATGCATGCTTTCGCCTGATAATACGATAAGCACAATATCTCAACCCGTCTCTACAAATCTATGTATATATCCATAAATAACTTACAACTATCTGTAACTAATGTTACCTATTACTTTGAGTTGACGACTGTCCTTGGATATTACAAACAAATGAGTTTCACTCCAGTTTAATTATTATCATATGAGTGCATCAGCATGTCTACCAACGCTTAGTGAAGTCTTAAGATATCATGCTGCATGAATTAAGTGGACGGGGTCATCGAGTGTTTCTGGTCAAAAAGCGGTGAGACGCTGTGGGAGAAAAGAAAATCAACGCAATGTACTGTTTTGTGCTGTGTTTAGAAACAATCGATGAAAAGAACCAAATTTCATTAAGTTTCATTCATTAGTAATCAGTTGCTGAGACTTCAACTTACACTAGGTATAAATAGTGGTAACAGTTGTGGTGGTATAGGAGTTTTAGACCAGTAATTTGGTTCTTCTCGGCGCAGTAGATTTTCTTCAATCTGATCTTTTGATTCATAGATATCAGGAGTGCTTTGTTGATTCACCTTTGAAGATGTTACATTGCTATTCGATATTACTACTTGTTGAGTTTCATCTTCACTGATATAGGACGGAGGAGCATCCGGTAAATTCACAGGAAGTGTCCATGTAATCAAATCACACTAACAGGATAATATAAGCAGGAAAAACAATACACATTACCATGTTAGGATTTCAAAAAACAGTGAAAAACCATCCCAAGAGTAAATAGCATAGTAAAATCCGTGTCCTAGAACACTTGACAATGTTTTAAGTGGCTAGAGACCTACGTTTCACGTTTATTGTCACTCGTTATCTATGTGCCTATCTGCAACCTCGAAGGAAATAATCTCCATTCTCAGATACTGGAATCTGCATCATCCGATGCTGCAGTGAAACATATTACCGCCGGGGCTATATTCAGGCTCATGAATAACCGTCTGTAGAACTGTAGTGAACAAAACCAGTGTCATATATCTAATTCCTGACTTCCTATCGATCGCTTCTAACCACATGTAATACCAACTCAAAGCTAACCGAAATGGCAAGTTACCTAGCTTGACGAACACACTGCAAATCAATAGGCTTTAAGACGTGCGCATTTGAAATAAAAATCAAGTTTATGACATGGAAAAAAAGCAGTAATCATGACAACCAGGGTATATATATAACACTACTACTACTGAAGTGGTGCATGTTCACCATACATAAACTTTCCCATAGACAGTAAACACCGGCCCTGTCTTCATTACTTATGAAATCTTTTGTTTTTCAAAGTATAGAATGAGTCGATTTGAGGGCTGAATATTCTAGCGGTGTTTCCACCGACCAGTTGATTTGAGGATTCACATCTTTCGATATACTTTTAAAACACAAACAAAAAAATATTCCTCGTCTTCTTTACAATGCACCAAAGGTTCAAATTTTTCAACGAAGCAATAACGACAAATGTAGCGGAGCCTATTTAACAAAAAATCTGTTTTTTTATTACAGCTTCATTCCACACCGTATTCTTTTGGTAGAGGTATGGAATTTTCAGCATGCGATATCGGTAGCCCAAATTTTGCAGGCCGACCATAGATACCATAAGTGCACCGGCAGGTGATCGAACCCCGAACCATGTGTACGGTCGGCGAGAATCCTAACCACTGTGCAGATTCTTCCCATCTACCTGCACAGCGTAAAAACACCAAAGTAAATAAATTACAAAAGAAAAGAAAAAAAGATTTGGACATGTCCAAGCCTTTTTTGTAATTTAAATCGTCTTTATCTTTATTATTCAGGTTGTAGACAGTTGAAAAGAATCCGTCAAAATAAATTAGCAAGAAGAAAAAAGTTGGGAGTCGTATTATATTGTCCCTGCTGCATCTCATTTGTTGTTCTTGTTTTGTTCAAGTGTTTCTCTCAATGATATGATAATTCTACACACATACACACACACAAATAGACAATTAATAAATAATTGTTTTACTAACCACCTTTCCTTTATCCTTCATATAAAAGCTACTATCAACAAGAATAGCTGGCACAAGCCAATAAACTTCCTCCTCTGAGTAGATGAATGTGTCACTTTGTGATTGTAATGTCGATAAAGGAAGTTGAATAAATATTAAACGACCAGGACAAATTAATGTTTTCAATTGATTATCATCCAGTAGATTGTTTAGTATACATCTGTACAACTCGTAGTATTTCAAACATTTCTGTGAACATGAAAAATAAAAGAAGTAATGAATTGTGACAGATAAAGTAAAAAGGTGATTGGATGATAAACCAAAGAATTAAAAGGAGAAAAAAAACTGTTAGCCAGGTAGAAAAATTTACGTAAACGTTTATATCTCGAGGATAGTTGTGCATCACAGGAGAAGACAATATTACGACAGTATAATGAACACAGTGATTTCATACTACATATGCATTTAGATCTGAAAAGAAAGCAAGCACACATCATATTTATGTTGGAATACAATAATTACTCAGAGTAGATTTCTCATGTACCAGCCACCTATGAGCCCAACAAGCACAAATATACACATTTATTGTTTGAGGGTAGGTTGATAATACTATCGAGTTATGCACTCTGAAGTAAGTGGAGCAAAATTCAAACTTGGGATTCAAATCATACATACTTACACAAACCGCATAGTGTGATTCTCAAGTGCATATTACTCAGAGGAAATGATAACTAGCAGGCATACAGATCCTGATACAACATATATGTGAACTAATTACAGCCAAACTCATACAAGTTAATGTTATGTTGTGGCCCAAGGGGAATACAAATGCTAACTGACGGTAATGAACGCATGATAGTTTCAACTGAAGTTAACCGACATGTTGCTAGGCCATTCAGATACGTTAGTCCGTAGCGACATGCCATATACAATCAGTCATCATTTCATAGTCAATTATTCCCAGACTCGAAACTAGTAAATTGTACAAGACTCATACAGTAGGTGAGGCAATGTGGATTTCCAAAACAAGCGAGAGACAACATGATAGAGTGCGAAAATGCTTATCGCATGCTGACCCGAAGAAATGTGCAAAGTGAAATGGAGACGGATTGGACGTATGCAGAGGAAAAAGTCACGTGATATGACATACCAATCAGGCCCTCTAGTGGAAACCAAGCGATTTGGTGTCTGAAGGAAAATCACACGCGGGTGCAATCATGGAGCCAACTGAAAGTGATGAAAAATAACCGAGTGAAGTGCGCATATGCCACTGAAGCACACTGTCGCCTCTGAGAACACAAGAATCAAGTAATAACAGTTGTAAGATTGGAAATACCCATGAGATAATTATTGTCCCTAATAACTTATGCTAAAGATGATGTTATGTCACTTAAAACTTTGGATGAAATCAAACTAACCTGTGGGATGCTACCAATTCCATCACTCAAACTCAATCAATATTGCTCCATTAGAACGAAACAACGACCGACTTGCGAAAAGTCATCACCTTTTGTTACTATTCATTAACGAGTAGTAAACTGCTAAATTTCATGGCGATTAATTGTCGGGGACAATTTCATTTACTCAACTGGATTTCCAAAATTAGATCATTTCATCATAGAATTCCATATCTTCGAGGATGTTTGATGTCATCATAGTGCGTACTGCTGATTTGATGTAGCTTGTCACACAGTAAAAGAAACGAAGCTAGTTGATGTTTAGCTACTACGCAGTTTTGTTAACACATCGACTGATATAACTACTACAATTTTTACTACACATAATCTCATGCAATCACAATGTACTTACTAACTGACTTAGGAGTAATGATTCTTGGTTAATTTGCAATCCATACATCCTAAAGTATTCAAGGCTGTACGCAGCTGATATGAAGCCGACGAAATAAATTATGGTACCATCTTATTCTGTACAAATTGTATTCCTTGCTTTAAACAGGTCATGTTAGAAAATCTCTCTCACGTGTATACATCTTTCTTGGAGAGTTATCCATGAAAGCTAATTTACCAATTATGTAACAAAGTAACACGAATTACAAAAGTAAGGTTGGACATGGGATGCATTAGTTTAGGCGTTCGACTTTCACTCACTGATTCAATGTCCTATGAAGATTTTATAGACATCATTAGTTTGTACACAATAGATGAAGCTTATTTCATTGTTAACGGTACATAAATAGAAGGGGAATTGAGTTAAGGTTTCCGTTTTTTTCATAAATATTGGACAAGATGTGCTTTAAAAAGACTTTGTAAACACGCCGCATTTTACATTTAAACCGCTTTAGTCAGTAGTCGAGAATACAAGAAACAATCCTCAAAAGAAATTGAAAAAAGGAAGAAAAAGTAACTAGCATGCACACTTACCTTATGATAATCCACTACTGATTTACAACATGCAATCCCATCATGAGGGCATTTGACCTGAAGAATGAGATCATCACCTTGTGATTCACTGCTAACAGAAAATACAGTTGTTTCATTTAATTTCTTGTTCAGGAGTGATAAAGACTGTTGATGTTCCATCTGTTTTCGATGGCTTGCCGCTTCCATAAAACTACGTCTCATCACCTCCTAGAATAATGTGAACAAGCGAAATTGCAATTCAAGAGTTTCTTTACATAAATTGAATTACTATGGCAGGTATGAAATAGCTAACAGGGACAAAGACAAAAAACAGATGAAGCTCTATGTCTTACATCCATTTCATGACTGCATCGATTTTATAAAATTTCACACTGTGGTGTCTATGTCAATGCTTATCAATATCAATACAAGCTCCTAAATAAATAGATGTATACCAGTGGTTTACAAGCCGCAACGCTCACTAGTAAGATCGACGTAGTCCTTGCAGTAGATAGCAGTTTCTTCCACCTGAGACGTATTACGTCATTGATGTGCACGAACCAATTGTTTCTTTAAATGAACCAGTTGAAATCAGTCATATTCTGACCGGATACATTGCAAAATTTCTTGAAAAGTACCGAACTATCACTGCATATTATATACATGTACCCTAATACAGTTTCTGATAAAATTTTCACACGCCTTTATTGGCTATTTGTATTATAATATTCTTAAGAGAATTAATCGAAAACAATCGTTCGCTCAAAATCATCCTGTTGTGATTACATTATGGGAATTTTTAAATCATTGGAAGACGTTATAATTCACAGGGCATTGGACTGAGCTCCATTAGCTAAATAGTTAGAATGCCTCACCATGTAATCTGGAGGTCATAGAGTGTGTAGAAAGTGAGCACTGATGAAGAGACTCAAACTTGAACAAAACGGCCGTCAAATACCATCCAAGTTTTTAATGGTTTCTAGCTTAAATTAGTTAATGATCTAAGTTTTGGGATTTTACACACTTAACAGAAGTCCTCGGTGCGTAAAAACAAGCACGACACAACTGGTTATAAAAAAATGCAATACAAAAATTACCTCTGGAGTAAATCCAGGTAACCGATGTAGTTGTAAAATCATAGGATACGTGATTTTGAATTTCGACACCAGATTGGTCTGTTTACCCAGTATTATACTCATTAAAGTATACTCTGATGGTAGACCTGTATTCGATCTTAATACTTTTTGCAAACTGCCAACAAGAATGATCACATTGCCTTTAGTATCTAGACCACGACGACCTGCACGACCAGCCATTTGTGTGTATTCAGCTAGAAAAACAGACCAGATGACAAAAGGTAACTTCATAGTCTTGTCTCGCAGTCGTTAAGTTTCATCGAAATTAACTTTATATGATGTAATCAACTTAACTCGTACTAATACACAGGCCCAACTATTAGATATCCAAACGCGGTGTGAATAAGTAATTAACACAAGGGTATTCGGCAATGGAATTGTTATAATTAGCAACTCGATGTAGATGTGCAGGCAATATACGTCTACTATACATTAAAATTACAACTTGCACGTACTTTGTTTACTGTACCTCTTCACCTTTTTTCTCATGTCTTCCATAAGAATCGTTCATTTCTTCTCTTAGCCATGTCTGTGAAACGGGGAGACTGAAGACTGAATATGAGAATCAGGGCTTTGAACTGATCATCTGTTAGAGACCTGAGTCGAAATCTCTCGCATTCTCTGTTGACTGTACCAACATGAGTGAGGAAATCATCATTTTCATTCATCGTCAGTTTGAGGTAACGATAACGTATGCTGAATAGTGAGGAGTGGTCTCCAAAATATTCACTCAGCAACTTTACTGTATCGTCGAAACATTTGTCGCGTGGTTTTTGAGGTAAAATCAGGTTGCAATACCTTTCATATTATGCGGGATCCAATTTACGCAATAATAACTGTAGCTTCCAAGCATCGTCCTGTGAGGTGAGGTCAACTCTAAATAAGTCTTCATAGCAGTGATATCATATGTCAGAAGTGATATTTGCATCTGGATGATAATTGAACTGCATAATACTATTCGCAATTCCGTCGACAGATGGTGCTATGGTATGAGTCGGAGTGCTTGACGGTGAAGGTGGATCAGTCTGTTTGGTGATGAGCATTTCCATCAATCTGATTTTTCGCTCAAGTAATCATTCCAATTTTGTAGAATCCATGCTTCTCCCGTCGCCAATATGTTATGGGCTAATGAGGTATAACGGACGATAACATAAAGACTGGTATTGCTTAGTAGTTAATTTGCCCTGACCCGAAGAGGGAAATCAGAAGACCTTCACGTTCACGAATGGATATGTGTATTTTCCAACAAGGGAAATTAACTGTCAAACAGAAGTGTGAGTGGAAAAGCAGGAAAGAGTATCAATTACTCCGCTTCAAGAAGCCGACATGTCAACCTGAGACCGAGCACTTCGTTCGGTCCAATCAATCGACGGGAAAATCCAAAATTCAATTAAACTTACATGATATAGCTGAAGAATGTCAACGGCTGAATAATTTGCAGAAGGAGACGCACCTGGTCGAATCGACAACTTCGAGAAGCTCTGACATCCGTGCATTACGACAGAGCAAAAATCGCTCCTCACCACCCAGTCGTGACCCATCTGCTCCTAACGCTTCGCGTAAAACTACAAATGCTGGTTAAACATAATCGGTCATAAAGACGGATTTTGTCAGCCACGCAACACAGAGATACTATAATCTAACGAAATCTGGACCTACTGTGAGTCCTAAGTCTCTTAGAGGATCAATGAGTCTACTGGAAACATGTCGAGTCACAAAACCAGGTGTGCGGATATATATTGATCTGCAGATAAATGGTCATGATACGCGACTGCAGTTAGATACCGCCTCTGACATTATTGTCATATCAGAGAAACTTTGTGACGATATCAGCAGACCACCTACCAGAAACACTTCACAAACTGCTATCAGCGCCTGTGGTGGACGCCTTAAACTAACTGTTGAACTTAAATGCACAGTGTCTTTCCGTAATATCAAATTTACAGGGATTTGTTATGTCCCCCAGAATGATTTAAATCTTTTGGGACTCTATTGGTTCAACCGTCTGCATCTGGCTGATGTCCCACTTAATTCTGTGCAACTACCCCCTATACCGTGGCCACCAACAGAACACCCTTGGTCCCGAATTCATATTGATTTTGCTGGTCCTACAAATGGTGTATCTTATTTAGTGCTGGTAGATGCTTTCTCGAAATGGCCAGAAGTTATACCAATCGTTTCACCGACAACTTCGCAGACTCTCAAAGCTCTGACTGATGTATTCTCCCATCATGGTCTACCAGAAACCATAGTTACAGACAACGGTTCACAGTTTACGTCTCATCAATTTCAGCAGTACTGTAGTCAAAATGCTATCAAGCACATGTTCTCACCGCCGTATCATCCTCAATCAAACGGTCAAGAAGAACGTTTTGTCGACACCTTGAAGGGGGCTCTGCTCAAAGCAGAGGGAGAGGGAACACCATTTGACATCATCCAAAAAATTTCGCACAACGGCGAATGAGTCAACACCGAAAAACAATCGCCAGCAGAAGTTCTTTATGGATGAAAACTAAGGACGATTCGCAGCTTCATGTTACCACCGGCACCCAGACGTGCCGACGCATCAGTTAGAAATGAGAGAAAATTTGATGTTGGTGACGCTGTCTATGCCCGCGACCATCGAGTAGGGCATTAACCTTGGAATAAAGGTTACATAGCAGCACGACGTGGTCGAGTTATTTACGATGTGAAAGCTGGTAGTGATTTATGGACCCGCCATTACAATCAGTTGCGTCCGAGAAGCGCAGATATCCTAAATGGTACAAAGTCAACTCTGCCTCTGGATATACTCCTAGACACATTTAACCTACCCACAACTAACAGAACAGAAAAGCAAAATTACGCATCTCAAACAACGCCTGACAAAGCAGAAGCCGCAAACCCGACAAGCAGACGAAGCGATAGACGTCAACAGCAAACTCAACGTTTCCAGATAAACCCTAAGAAAGCACGCTACTAATCATCAATCTTCTCAAAAGGGGAGGTGAAATGTAGTCACATGATGTCTGCCTTGTTCTGCCAGTCTGATTCCTATATGCCTTTAGTAAAGTGGTGCAGGTCGTTGATCATCCTACTGTATAAGAAAGGAAAAATGTCTTACCATGATAATTATGGGGAAATTAGGTGGTGTCCAAGATTCAAAACTCCATAGTCATTTCATAACTCTGCCCTTCGACAGGTTCGAGAAACGGGTACACTTACTTGCACCCAAAATTTGCATATTTCTTATCATACAGATACCATTAGACTGCTTCAGTCGACTGATGCTATGGCGATGTCTAGCTATCGACAGAATATGGGGACATTTGTCGTACTAATGAAAGCACTAGACGAACTCGTGCGGCCGTATAACAGCTTATACAGAATTTTTATCTAGCGTGACGACATCCAAATGATGACCCTCAGGGATCTATAATGTCTCCATTTCTATTTAATTTCACTGTAGATTTGTTATAGAGGTGAATCCCGATGAAATTCGATGTCTCAGGAAAACACTAGTTGCTGGGGTGGCATCTCTTTGCTATTCTAGGTGAATACGCTCACAAAATACAAAGTCCTGTCAACACATTAAACATAAATCCTAGTATGCTTGGTGTTAATCGCGACAGATAGATAGACTATATGATAGACAGTTAATCAATATGATGTGACCTTCTTGTCGCGATTATTGGTCAATTTATTGTAACTCTCACCACGTGATGACCTTGAATGTTCTTTTTTTGTCTGTCATTCTATTTGTGTATACATGTAATGTTGATGACTTTGGATCATGGTGTCAAGCACATTATTGTGCGTGTTATGCGATTTTGCGAGTTTTGATTGAAGCTGACGATTCTATGGGACGTACACATAAAGTAGTCGGTGAGGACGATGCATCTGATTTGTGTATTTCCTTAGTTCCAAAAAGGCTTTTAACTGCGGCTCGTTCAGCAATTGGTGAATTCTTAAGAAAATTACAATATTACAAAGGTAAAACGAATGCTATGTATGGATATGTTTTCTTCCAACACTACAGTCAACTACTTTCAAAATATTTGACTGATTTGTTCTGGCATAAATGGCTACGTGGATATCTTCTGATGCTGCAAACAAGATCTAAGTGGTTGGATATAAAGCACAACCTACAACCTGATGATCTCGTCTTAGTTAACAGTGCTGACACACAGAGAGGTCTCTGGCGAAAGGCTATAGTTAAGCAGATGTACTATGACCAAGATGGCCTCGTCAGGACAGTGTGTTTGAAAACTTCAACTCAAGAAGTGGAACAAGATATAAGAAGCGTATGTTTGCTGGAAGAAGCAGACAACTTTATGGTTCCAGGTACAAGAAGTCAACGTGGTGATCGTTCGCGGGGAGTGTTAATCGCGACAGATAGATAGACTACATGATAGACAGTTAATCAATATGATGTGACCTTCTTGTCGCGATTATTGGTCAATTTATTGTAACTCTCACCACGTGATGACCTTGAATGTTCTTTTTTTGTCTGTCATTCTATTTGTGTATACATGTAATTAATTGACTGTTCATTTTGTCCGTACCCTCAATACTGTTCGGTACGTTTTTATCCTTTTTTGTAATGACAGTGGATTTGTACATTTTTCTTGGTGTAATTGTATGATTTATTTTATGTTTTAGAAACAGATAAAGTTAAAGTCAAGTCATTCTGTTTTAACTATAGTTAAGCCCAGACTCTGTGTCGTCAGTATTGAGGAAGGACTAAATCTGTAGGACAAAAATAATCCTACACTTGGTATGCAATTTTTCACCTATCAATTGTAAAGGAATGCTGCAAAACTGCTCTGCACCGACTTAATTGCAGTTTTATCTATGCAATTGTCATTTTCATCGAAGAAAACCTAGTCAATTTTATGATTGCTAATTCATTGCATTCCTGACTAGTCAGGGAAAGGCTCCAACAGTTTTCTCCGCATTTATGCACCTGTATCAACTGTCTCCGATCAACATTTTACAATTTCTACTTTGATTCCTCCAGCCAGATAAATAATGGTTAAAACAATCTAAGATGAGTGGAGAAAGTGTATTCATTCTGAACCACTGGATGTATAAGTAACAAAACTGAGAACAGTAGAGTAGATTTTTAGCTTAATTTAATGTTTTTTTTTACGTGGCTGCCTTCTCTCAGCTGTGCGATTTATCTTTGAAGTTCCCATCGTCCCTCTGGAAATTATTTTCAGCGCTCACATTAATGTGACTTCTGTTTTGGGAGTTCTCCATGATTGAAATATTGAAAACTCCGTATGAGTTATTCCCGGGAATAAATGCTAAAGAAACAGGAGTACTAAATGTCGTAGGTTTTAGTTATTTGGGAGATTTTTGGTGTAGTATGGAATACCATATAGCTGACTGAAAGAGTTCTTCAAGCCTTTCAAAGGAATCACTATCCTAGTTTTCATTACACCTATAATCGTTTAGTTGTATACATATCTATTTGCAGTTAGATACCAATGTGTCTGGTGAAAAACAGAAACAAATAAGACTCAACGGTAAGGTATATATAATTCAAAAATAAGTTGTTAAAGCTGAAATAATTAACTTACTTGAAGTTAAGGGACGTACTGTTTGACCATCAAATTTACTTAGTGATGTAAACACAACACTCCTTGCGGGCATATTTACCCCCATCGAAAATGTTTCTGTTGCGAAGAGAATTTTCACTAATCCCCGTTGGAAAAGCATTTCTACAGTCTATTTTTCAAAATCGAATAAAGATAATTAAACAAAAGCAATCGAAATAGAACAGTGAAGAAATGAAAGAATGCGGTAGGGAAAGACTGAAAACTGATAACTCAAGGCATATTCACATGTCATTCAAATAACATAAACACTGGAAATGATTGTGATAAGAATAAAGTGAAAAACTGCAATAGCTTGCATTCACCGAATCTCCATTGAAATGAATGTGTCTGCTCACTAATCAATAACTCAAACATCACACAATGTGTCTACTACTGTTATTAGCTTTTGCGTTTCGAGTGTAGCATAGGGCTTTAACAACACATCTACTCTTTGTCCTATTACTTGCTGATCTCATTCGCTGCGCCAATGATTGCCCGTTAACTTTCACCGACCGACCCTCGGAACAACGACTAGTCGTTTCCCGTACGGATTCCACCCGAAGGCCTTGCCTAATCTTATTCCTGTTTCTTTATTTCGAAAGCTTTTCTGAGTTTTCCATTTTGGATCACGTAAAAGGTTGAATCCTCATAAACTTGTTGAATAAGGTTGATGAAGATTCGAACCACTTCGCTCCGTAGTGTTGAAGTAGTTTCCACATTACGTCTCAGTCAACGCTGTCGAAAGCCCTTCCGAAGTCGATGAAGTTGATGTAGGGAGAGGTTGGACTGCCATCCTAGGCTTTGTTCTGTGATGATAATAAGTTGAGTTGCATTTTGATCAGCAGATGATTTGCTTTTCCTGAGTCCACTGTGTTTCAGGGAGGAGTTCTGTATCCAGTGTATGCTTTATTCCCTCCAGGATGATGATGATGAGACTTAGTATTTCACTTGTCGTGGAAAGAGCATGAATCCACCTCATTTTTTCACAGGTCTGCGTTTTCTCTCTTTGGTAGTGTGACAAGGTAGCCTTTCTTCCAATTCATAGGTACCTTCTCTTCCTTCCAAACCTTTTACAATAGTGGCGTAAGCACATCCGCTGTGGTCTCCGGATCCGTCTTCAGTACTCCGGAGGGGATTTTGTCCCGTCCTGCTTCCTTCGCGGATTTTACTAGCTCGAGTGCATTGAAGACTTCTGCTTTTGTTGGAGGATTGGTGTCCACTGGCGAGAGGGTCTGTGCATGCTGTTGGTGGTGATATTTCTGGGCGAGTTGCAGGTGATGGTCGATTCAAGAGCCCTTTGGAGTGATCAACCGACTGCTTTGTTTGTTTCTCCTACTTGGCGATCTGGTTTCGTTGAGCATCTTTTATGGATTTCATCATCTGGGCTGATCTCTTCCCGAATGGAGACCTGGTTATTTGATATAATGTCCTGAGGTGTCTTTTAACTGCAGCCTACCTGTTCTGCTTCCGTTGACAATGTGTCTTAGAATTGTCTTTTGTCTTTCCTACCACTCTTCTTAACTTCTTTATTCTGGGCCTTGTAGATTGAACTCAACATCACCTTCTGTTGCCCATCTTTGCATTGAGTTATCTTCTGTCTCATCATCCTCCTCTCCTCCATTAGCTTCCAGGTAGGTGTCCATTGAGAGCCATTCTTTGTCTTGTCTCTTCCTTCTTCCTAGAACAGTTGTACAAGTATCCTTGAACATCACCTTCAGAGAGTTAGTTCCAATGTTCTTCCACACAGGCTTCCTCAGTGATGCCACGTAGTGTCTCCGACTTTGATTTGATCTGATGTCTGTAATGAAAGCATCGCTTGTAGTTTTGTCCTTCAGTTTCTGAATGTTGAACTTGAATTACAGTTGTATGTCTGCATTTGTTTTCATGGATTTCATCTTCACCTTAAGGTTCCCAGAACTAGATGATGGTCTGAGCCCTCCCACATCTGCTCCCCTTCTCCACTTTGTATCCAGCAGACTAGCTGCGTCTCCACTTCCTTGATCAGTATTGATAGGAAATCTATTTGACTTGTGGTGTGTCTGTCAGGTGAAATCCATGTTGTTTTGTGTCTATCCTTGTGTTTGTACACGCTCCCTCCTATCGCCAAATCGTTGAGAGAGCAGAAGTCTGCGAATAGCTCTCCGTTCTCATTCATTTCTCCAGGTGAGAATCTCTTGACCTATGATCAGTCCTCTTCCAGTATTTGAATACTTTGTATTTTCAATATATTTTCTGTGTGTTGAAGTTTATCTAGCGGTTTGATAGGTTTAATGGTGTATAGTTGCTAGCCCTACGCGCAACGCTCCCTCTTTACCCTGGCTTCGGACCGGGTAGAAAACTAGCGAGCTAGTCAACTAGGCGAGGTTATCCTTATGCTATCAACACGAATTCTGGATCACAAAAGTTTTCTGTCACTTTTTCATTTCTAACATCAATAAAATACTGACCGTTCTGCGAACGCCCAAGAAGTAAAGGATAATCAAACTATTTAAATTTTTGAGCATTAACGTCAGAGGTGTGTTCAGTGTAAAGTTAAATGGAGTGAGCAAATCCACTAATAGCACACTGAAACAATGAGCTATTCATTTGTTTCCAAAGTTACTGATTACATATATATATATATATATATATATATATATATTAGGTAGCAAAAGAGTGAACACTACTCACCTCTTTCAACAAAGGCATAAGGCCAGCATGATGAAACGCCAATCCTTTTGAAGCCAATTCTCGGATAAACTGAACTGAAGCAAGTCGACGATCACATTTTCTTAAACGATCATTGACTAGAGTCTTTAAGAGTTGGTTAACCCGTTCTTTTTCGTCTGTAATACAAAAAGCAAATCTAGTGAAATATACTTCATCGCCTAGCTAAAAGCAAAAAATAAATTCAAACACATGCAGGGATGACTATTACGGTTGTTTGAAATGTTCACAATGTGGCCTGTTTAATGGCAGCTTTACAAAATTACTTCGAAAAATTAAAGCGAAAAATATAGCATAACCGTATTTTCCAACATTAAAGAATGATTCATTTAGCATGACAAACTTCGGCAACTTAGATTTATCATCACAGTAAACACTGAAAGAAAATTACAAAATTGCAGCACATTTCATTTCACCTTCAAATATCACATGTCCCATCAACTGGCAGATCCATCTATCCGAGGCTATCTCCCAGAGGGTTTCACACCAGTAAATATCTTCGCGCAACATATATATTATATGATGGATGGTCAAGTCAAAGAAAAAGGCTATACGGATTTCTTATGAACAAACAGACTGAACTCGTTTGGATACATACCGATAGCCTCTGTTGTATATAAAAGTTGTACACATATAGCAAGAAGAGAGTTGAGTAAAAACTAAAACAACTTTAAAAGGCTTATTTGAAATCCTGTATTGACAAAATGAGCTAGTATTGAGCTATACGGAGCTTTATTAGGTTCTTTGTCTAAACAGACATCAGACAAGGAACCTTACTAATTTTACTCGAATGTAATTAGCTTCACCGGAGCACATGGAAGAGGCGAAATTAGGTAATTTGTCTTTATTTCGTCAGATAATTATTGGTTGACTAGTGAATAGACACTATTTAGAAGTCCTTTTGAAAGCTCTTCTCAGATGTTTGTGATGTCGACTTAGGAATATTGATTTTTTTGGAAATGTGGCCACCCTGGATTTGATGCTTGCTAAATATGCCGGTTTATTCATAAATGTCTTTGGATATCTACCATTTTTAATTTGTAAATCACGAATATTACCGAGTTCTTCGTTAAGTTTTATACCCCGACAGATAGCTCTAGCACGATGGACTGAAAAAGCTCAAAAAGTGATTATTATGATCAATTGATATAAGTTTACGCTGTAAGCTTCTACATATTGTTCCACCTACTGATTTTATCATTAGAACATTCACAACCAAGACGGACCTATTTTCTTATTCCTTTTGATAAAACTTAGTACTTTATTAAACTGCCCAAATATGCACTTCACCTCAGTTTCATTACTTAAAATTATAGGTGCACCATCAAAATAACTATAGTGGAAATCCATATCACACTTCTTTCATCTTTCAGAGGGCGATTTTCAAGTTTCGATAGGAAAAAATTCGCTACAATTGGTTCTAGTGGTGATGCCATAGCAACACTATACTACTGCCAGGATATCTCTGTAGTGAAAAGGAAATATAAGTTCGTTGCGCATCTTAAAATACCTAAAAGTGAAGACATAGGAATACTGCACTATTTTATAATTGAATTTATAAGTAATTTGAGCATTAAGTAACAACTACATCATTTTAGACTGAATGTGAACGATATGTTGCTAGGCATTTCAAATGCACTAGTAAAGAAATATCCAAATTCTGGTCCTATTTCTTTTGGATAAGTCAGCAACATGCTAACTGATTTTAAACGACATGTTGAGTCATACTAAAGACAGGAATATCAGCGAACCAGTATTTGGACACATTTATTCTGATGCATTTGGAAAGTCTAGCAACATGTCGATTAATTTCAGTCCACTAATTTACACAGGATCACATGACAACAAGAAGGACTGTATTATCTCAATAATCGAAATTAACACAGTTCGTCAAACAGACAATAGCAGTGTAGCTAGTGTTAGTGACATAGATTCTTATTTATTAGTGAAACTGTCAGCCCTGTATCTATTAAACATACTACTTCTTGGCCACTCATTGACAAATCAGAATACATAGCCCCAATCTCGATAGCCCTCACGAATTATAATCTTATAGGAGCGAAATAACACATTTAACTGAATTTTTTTCTTCTCCATCTTTCTGAGCAGTGCCCCCTCGAGTGTCCTGATTTGCCACATTCAAAGCATTGGTCTTTCCCGGCGCTTATTCACAGTGCCGCTACCTCACGCTTCAATTTTCTGTTTCCACAGGTTCGATTTCGATTACAGACAATGTGTTCCAACGGAATATTATTCTCATATATTCCTATAGTTCAATGCTGCATTAGCGACAGAATACTATATATATTTGAACATTCTATTCACTGCTAGAGAAGGAGTACTTTCCCAAGGTTATATACTGTATGAGCAACAGAATAATTTATGTATTTGAACATTCTATTTCATGTCGTTTAATGTTAACCGCAATCACACGCTCAATGATTGGTTAAAGAATATAAACTGCATATATATAAATATCGGTTTGATCACTTGAAAATATATCTTGGTTTCGTGTCTTGCTTTCTGCTGTTACAGTAAAGCAGTGAATCAAGAATACGCATCCAGAAACACTTCAAAGCAAATATATTACGTCATAATTCTTGGAATTTTGATTTCAATGATTTGATGTTATTTAAAAATAATTAGTGTTGTCAGTAAAATAGTAATTTTAATTCCTATGGATATCTATAACAGTACAACCTGATGACAAAGTTATCGAAAAGAATATGCATTCTCCACCAATCAGTCTTTCGAATAATTTTTGGGGGGCACTATAAACAATTAAAAATAGTTGTATGGTTATCAAAAACCTAAATAGAGGATAAAATTATAGCAGAGGACAATTAACTTTACTTTTTAATTCATAAAGAGTAATATTCAAGTTTTAGTTGACTGGCTACAACATAGGGACTACATCGTAAATCGAATGAAAATATCGTAAGTGACAGAGAAGAGTACTATTCTCAACAGTCTTAGTATTTGGTTTGGGGACTGTTGTGGTCCACAAAGTCTTTAGTATTGTGCTAAACATCGACTGACATAGGTGTAAGTGATTCGTAAAAATGTCGCCTATGGATGGACGCTACTTCAAATTATAACTGGCACTCAAAAAGAAACAGCTCATGATGAAAATCCTGTAAACAATAATAAGTTGAAAATTAGATCGGGTTACAACAAATTAGTCTGTTCGGAAAAGCCAATGACCAAAATCCGAACAGAACAGTCTACTGCCAGTCAGACCAAGACAACTTACACCTACCAATCAGATCAACACTACTGTTATCAATAAATGTCATTTTTACAGTGTAAACACTTGTTTGGCTAAGTCGTTCGACAAGTACTGCATAAAGCCGCTACACTAATACAAAGACATTATGATGTTTAAGACAGGGTTCCGAATGGGTGAGCGAGAGATAATTACACACTTTTAATAAAAACAGTTCAAGTGGTAACTTGGATACAGTCGTGCAGCAGCACGCGCAGAGGAGTGGGTGTCTACCAACGCCGTGAAATCTAATTGGTTGTTTGTCTGAATAATAAATGGGTGGTCAAGTTTTGCACAATTTGAATCGTGATTGATCAACTATCGGGCAGACTCTATCCACCATTGCGCATAGCACATAAAACGCCTACACTACATACATTTAAGTAAAGCAAACTGAGACGACTAAATCTATAAAACCAGACACTCATAATGGTTACCAGTTGAACGTATTTTTGTCTGTGTGTATGTGCATACGTGTGCGTACCACAGAAACATTGTATACATGCGTCAATCGATGACAGCTTAGAAACTGGTTCTACAAATACCAGTTAAGCTAGTGTATACAATATGATGAGTTCCACAAAAGCTAAAAGTGGAAGGCAATCATCATAAGTGAAACCATAAAGTACTACACATAAAAACATCCCAAAGAGAAACGTATGTATACAGGTAACAGCAGATACCGAAGTCAAGAAGATCCACCGTAAGAACGTTTTTTGCCAATGTCTCTAGGGCTTTTCGAGAAAAGCCGAATGCTATAACTGGCATCAAATCGCTTTCTTTTAGCACACGGATAAGGCCGAGCCACATATTCTTATTAAGTTCATTGAGAAATTCCGTTTTATTAGAATCTGAAAGAAAAAAAATTAAAAATGAAATGGTAATATACGAAACCGAAATTTCGGCACTATGTTAGAGTATAATCCCACTTTAGATAAGTTTATATGATGTAGCACACACAGTGACACAAAATCAATGGCTAGGTGACGTTTCGACCACAATTTACTGCTTACAATCATATCAATGTATTCACACAACTTCATAACTTGTTCAATGTAGCTTTACTCCTTTAATGCTGCCTCTACCGAATACTGATGATAGCGACTGTTCTAATTCACTGAACTCGGAAAACATACGATCAGGTCGGATGTATGACTGTAAGGACAATTTCCCCTATAATATATATATATATATATATACTTTCGACCTGGGTAGACTGCTCCGTAAAATAATGTCCATTTTATATTTAAAGTGTACGTGGAAGCTGAAGATGTAATGTTTGTGAGGAATAGAATGACTGAAGCAAGATTTTCCCCTTGGATGGTGATCAATAAGGCATTACGACTGTCTAATTTAAGCATAATTATTACTAATAAACTAACCTGTTGAATATCACAATTATTGTATACCGTACATGATTAAAACTGAAGAAAGAGATGATGAACACTTACTTCGAAAAGGGACACTTAGCATCTTTTGATTAGAATACGACGCAACCGCTCGACTATAACCTGTGTAGATAAATTTTAAAAAACCAGTAAGTGAGACCATATGTTAGAGTTTAATTCTCTTTAAAGAAAGAATTTATTTGATGTACACAGTGAACTATAGCATAAGTAACTGATTAGGAGAATTATGCAGTGCAATGGTAAATTGTGCTGGAAAAATTATCCCGTTGATGTAGGCAAAATTATTCACACAAAGAAATTTGCAGCTGCGTTGAAACCTACCTTATCACCTACTGACAACACATACACACAACTATCTATCTCATATGCTCTCTTCCTCAACAACATCGACTCACCATTCGAAATAAGTAAAACACATAACACGTGTACTTCCAAACTCCCCCTAAGATTTATTAGATACACAACATATTTGATCACTACATCACTTTCTTATTTCAAGTTGATTATCGGTCGGTCGGTCGGTTTTCGACATAGAACTTTGCACATATGTGCGGCAGTTCAAGTCGCCACACTCCTCCATGTAGCACACAAAGCAAGAGAAGAAAGTAGAAGAAATGCATAATATAGACAGTAAACAGAGGTGTGAGACAAAGGAATAGTAATAACGGAGAACAAAACAGTTTAATTGGAAATCATAAGTCACAAGGAGTGGATGCATCTGCGCCACTGAGAACGATTTTGAGCCATGTCACCAATTGTTTCCAACCATTGGTTTTTACCGTCCCGAGGACCCCAACCAGGAAGTCTACACCTTCCTACGTGGCTTAGACTAACTGTTGTGGATTTCATTGACTGGTGCCATGTTTTCGTTTGACCGCCGCTAGCTCTTTTCCAGCCTGGCCCTATATCAGCTAACATTGCCCGTCGAGGAAGGCGATGACTAGGCATACGTAATACATGTCCTAACCATCTCAGTCGATGTAATTTCACAGTCTCGTCGATTGATTTCCCCTCCTTACCTAGCACTCGACGCCTAACCTGAATATTGCTCACCTTATTATACCACTTCACGCGGGAGATAGAACGCAGACACCTATGATCGAACACAGATAATCTTTTCATGTCTTCTGCTCTCAATGGCCAGGTCTCACAGCCATAAAGGAGGACGGAGCGGACTGTTGAGCAGTACACACGCCCTTTGGTCGATAGTCGGATATCACGTCTACGCCAGAGACGGCGTAAACTGGCATATGCGAACCTAGCCCTCTGTATTCGTGCTGAGATTTCGTCGGAGATCAACCCGTTGGGGCTGATGGTACTTCCCAAGTAAGTGAAGCGGTCAACGTGCTCTACCACTTCACTTCCTATTTCTAATCTAGGGGTCGGTGTAGTCCAATCCTGCAGCATCATCTTACATTTTACAGGGGCGAATCGCATGCCAAACATACGAAGATTGTTGCTCAAGGTGTTCAGTAGACTCTGCATTTTGTCAGCGTCCTCGCCTAGAAGGACTATATCGTCCGCATATTCTAAGTCGACGAGATTATTCCCTGGTAGCAAGTCAATCCCTGAGTCGCTGAAGTGTGTTAGGGTTAAGTCCATTAGTACGTCTATGATGAAGTTGAATAGGAATGGGGATAATGGGCATCCTTGACGGACGCCACTAGTCGTCACCACTTCAGATGACAACTCGCCATAAGCCCTCACCTGGCTGCATGAGTACGAGTAGAGTGCCTTAATCAGTGCAATGTATTTTCTCGGCATTCCCTTTACAGCCAAGCATCGCCAGAGAACCTCTCGGTCGACAGAATCGAATGCCGCCTTTAGGTCAAGAAATATAATGATTGTCGGACGCCGGTAGGAATGCCTATGTTCTAGAATCTGTCGAAGGGTGAAGATATGATCAATACACCCTCTACCTGGCCTAAAACCTGCCTGGTTTTCTCGTGTTTGTGCCTCCCGAGCACCACTTAGTCTACGCAGTATTATTGAGCCTAGGATTTTAGATACTATATTAGTCAAGCTAATCCCTCTGTGATTATCACAAGAAGACTTGTCCCCCTTCTTGTATATCGGGATGATCAGTGACTTACACCAACCCGATGGGACTTCCTCTGATTCCCAGACGCTGCCTAGAACCTCAGTTAACGCAGACAGTAAACTGTCTCCACCGTACTTAAATACCTCTGGAGTCAATCCATCAGGTCCCGCTGCTTTGCCTTGCTTCAGATTAGTGGCAGCTTTAGTAACCTCAGTTAAGGACGGAGGACCTGTGTCTACATCCCATTCAGGGAGGTGTTGGATGTTCGGCAGGTTAAGTGTGGCTGTGGGCCAATTAAACTGCTCCTCATAGTGTTCTTTCCAGCGCTTCAGACGTCTATCCTGGGAGCTAATTATGGTGCCATTTTTCTCAGAGATTGTTTCGCTTATCATTTGCCTTTTACCACCTGTTTCCCTGATGAGTTTGAAGAGTTGTCTGGTGTTGCCTATCGCCGATGCTTTTTCCATCTCTTTCGCCTTTGTCAACCACCACTGTTCACGGTCCTTGCGGAGACTTTTCGTAAGTTTCCTTTTGTGCAGCTTTCGCTCCTCATTGAATTCGGAGCTCGCCGGAATAAGTCTTCTAGCATCTATCAGTTCGGATGAGGCAGTCGAAATCCAATGGTTTTTACTCACCTTTGGATTTACCTTATTCACAGCTTTTACAGCTGTATCTATGGCTGACTGAATATTCTTCCAGGCTTCTTCAGGGTGAGCGCAGCTGTCGAACTCAGATATGTGTTTAGCTAGTTCTTCCTCAAATAGGGACTTAGTTTCCTGATCGAGCTGGGGACGTGATGGGTTCACCGCTAGCTGTTTCCTACGTCCGTTCAGTCGTAAGCATACACGAGCGCGGACCAGTGCGTGATCGGTATCTACACACGTGTTCCAGAAGGAGCGACAATCTCCTACAGACCCACGCCAACGATAGCTTATTGCTATGTGGTCTATTTGTGTCCAGCGTTGGTTTGATGATGGAGGTCGCCAGGTCAAACAGTGTCTCTCCTTGTGTTTGAAGTTAGTGCTTACAAGAAACAAATGATTATCTGAACAGAACTGTAGGAGACGGTCACCGTTGTCGGTTGGCTGGCACGAAATTCCGTATGTGCCACCGACATTCTTCTCAGATTGACACAATTTCCCTACTTGAGCATTAAAGTCACCAGCTAAAACGACTATATCTGAGCGTTTAGCCTTTTGCAGCAAACTAGACAGCTTTTGGTAGAACTCATCCTTCGTTTCATCCGAACTGCAGTCAGTGGGGGCGTAGGCGGAGATTACGAAAAGGCATCGGCGAGTAGTGCAGTCCTTTCTCCTTTTCACTGATCCGTTCAGACGGACAGCACACATTCGGCTATCTACCGGGATCCAGTCAAGTAATGTCTTTTCTGCCCTAGTACTCAAAGCTATCCCAACACCAGCTAATCCTCGTGAGCTAGCCGTCGCATCTCCTGACACCCTCAAGGTGAATTTCGCAGATTCATCCTGTTGGCCAGGTGGGGTTAGGTGAATAACCACACTTGGGTCTTGTATGCGTGTTTCTGAAACACAACATACGTCAATGGCTCGGGATGCCAGAGTCTTGGCTAGTGATGCTTGTTGTCCTATTTGGCAAAGTGTCCTAACATTAAATGCTCCTATATGAAATTGGTGGCGTGGCTTTAGGAGACTATCGATGGTGGTTTTTTGGCTTCCATCGTTATCAGTGCACACAGAGTGAAGAGGAAGTGAAGAGCCATTAAGTAGAGGAGTTGCACTAGTAGAAGGAAGGCAAGATAATAGAGATGAAGATGAAGACAAAGGTGAGTGAGGATTAGAGAGGTTTCGTGTGCACTTCGGATTGTGAGGGCGATTGTTACTTCCCGGCTGCCCACACCGTGGAAGTTGGTTGCGTGACCGCAGAGCCCAGGGGACAATTGCTTGAGGCCGGTCACACACGGCCTGTTTTTGTTTGTTCTTTTTTATTTGGTGTGTCTCAGTAGCGTATTTATCACTTCTGCCCTGTGACACGGCAGCAGAAAGAGCGGTCGTTGTTAATCCGGGCCCCGACCGATCCGGCATTATATTTTGTGTTTTTGTTTGAGTCATGGCATTGGATTGGGTAGCTGCTTTTTGTCTAATCGCTATCCAAACAACCTTTCTGGCATGGTAGAACCTACAGGAACTTAAGTTCCAGCCAGTGTAGCTCGTTGGGTCATTGCGATATGCAAGCCCGACCACCACGTCAAGGTAGCAGCACATCAAGTACGACATAACAGAATAGGAGAATATAATGAAAAGAAAAGAAAATGATTGAAGGTTATTCGCAGGGGCATTATGAAGGTAGTTAAACATGTATTTCCAACAGTATGTTTGTTCAATTAAAAAATGTAAACAGAAATAGTGACCATGATTATTTTTGATAATCACCATTTCAACCAGTTATTTTCCATAGGTACTTAACACAACTATCTAATTAGGGTAATGGGCTTTTATTAACCTGAGACACATCTTGGAAGAGATGTCAATGACCGAAGCCTACCGGGATACGTATAACTAATTGGTAGGAACTGTTGTGAACCAACCACACTAACTACTAGTGTTTGACAACCGACAGCCAATTCCCTTGTTTTCGGTCAAGATAACTAATGGTTAACTTGGTGTGAATCAATTCACACACCAGGATAAATGAAATCAGTAATATACACTATTTTTGATTGGACACTAGTCAGTAACTTGTTCTTTGTTTGGTGTAGACACGGATTTGAATCTCAGGAGGGGCACGATTTCCTTCAAGATTGCAGATAGGGCTTTCTGAGTGATGAGCGTCAAAAAGCGCGAAACCCAGGTCAAGTAAGGCTTCCTGTAGATTGTCTCTAACCATCTAATAATACTACACACTATAATGCGATTCCGTTTACCTTCTTGTTCTTTGCAATATCATGCAGATCACATTTATTGATTTGGATACATTTGGATTCGAAAGAAACACATCGTGTTGGACTCTTACCTCGAATTGTATTACTTATAAATAATGAGTTTCGTTCTACAGACTAAATGGAGAGGGGGGAATCAAAGACAGAGAAAATATTTGTTTGGAAAACTTTTTCATTAAGCTAATGAAATAAACATACGCATACTAGTTTTAAGTATATGCTAATAAATATGTGATTGAAGTGTTGGTTTGTAGAGATTTGATTGGTTACAGGATATCATCATGAGCTGACATTGGTTAGAGAAACCACTGGAAAAATTGGGAGTACTGAACAACTGTTTCATCCTAGTTTGGGACTCTTCATCAATACGCACCCACCGGGGTTCGAACTCAGGACATTCTAGTTATAAGGCGAGCTCGTAGACCATTAAGCCACTGGGACCCGGTCCAATGGCCCATGAATTCTAACTTCTGCCAATTCTGTGATTGTCCACATGCAGTTATTGAGAACAGATCTCATTTCTGTATCAGGTTAAGAGCCATACTTCTCGTGTCTTGCCTGGTGATGATAACTCAGCTGCTCGAAATGAGGAATGTAGAATGGGACTTGAACCAGCCGAACGCATGATCCATTTGGCTTCAAACTAAATCCTTAAGCAAATCAGTTACATTTTCACATTTGAATAACGGTACAGCTCTCTTATTATTAAGTTGTTACCATCATCAAATAAGCACAACGTTTCCCCAGAAATAAAGATGTATACGAATGGCAGTGATGAATACCATATAGAGGTGATAGTTTCAAATACTATGACATGTAATTGTATACCCGCTTTCTCTAGGTGCTTAAGAAGACTTCATTTATAATTGTATGCAATTTTTAGCTTCAACTAGAAGGAGAAAATAGGAGAATTGTAAGGGCCTTACGTATCACCACCTTTCTCTACAAATAGACATTACCATCAAAAGATGCACTCTCAGACATTCTCTCCTTCATTTTGTTTTAATTTTCTAATAAGTTAGAGTTTGCGAGTCTACATCAAGACTGCATTCAGTTTACAGATTAGAAGGTGCCCGAGAGAATCCTGATGATACATACATCTGTGATCTTAATTATTCCATACAAAATTTGAGACACATCTTTCAACGGTTTATTACTTGACCATCCCTCTTACTCAAGGATAACAACCAGTGTTCATCTAGTTTGCTAAACCACCTATCTTACAAATACAAAAGTGGAGGGAACGGATGCCTGTTATCATCAGTGGTGAACCTTCTTCACGAATTAATAGTAGATAAACAGTTCCATTAGAAAAAAAGACAGTCAAACTCCACAACAGCTTTTTGTATGAGAACACAAGATAATTTATTATTTTATTAAATGGGGAATAGGCTTAGAGTAAAGAAAATCATTCAACATCTTACCGACAGTGTCAAAGTCATTGGTCTGACTGACAATACGATGCATAAGGTCTCCTGTTGCAGATTCACTTTTACCAGTGTATAGAAAATGTTCTAATGGAACTGGACGAGTTTCCGTCGCAATCACATGAATCTCACAACCACGTATTTGGCCTAACCATTCAGCAAGCTCTAGGTGATTAGGCACTGAGGCGCTCAACATTACAAGTAGAACATGCTTGGGCAGCATTATCATAATTTGCTCCCAAACATAACCTCTCTCGGGGTCATTAATATAGTGAACCTGAACAAAAACAGAAAAAGTACAAATATTTAGTCAATCTTAATCGTGAAGTAAACGGAGTTCAGACGAAGGACATTCGGGGCTCGATACCCGCCAGACACTCCTAAAACTTATCTAGCCTGTAGTGATTCCCGGAAAGTGGGAAGAGAGTTGTCTTGTCACTGGGTCCGTTTTAGCTGACTCTACAGTGTTAAACTAACAGTTTTTGTAAAATTACACTAAATAAAAGGGAAACATGTCTGAAAGAATATTTAGACAGCGTTATTAAAAGACGGAGTTCGCCTGAGAAGCCCACAGTTTATATCATCTCAAAGGAAGATGTTTACACCAAATTATACCACAACGAAGAAGTAAACAGTAATAATATAAGAAGAAGACCATATCCTGTCATCCGTAAATCTTACTATGCAATCCGGCTTATAATTATCAAGAAAGTCAGAATGAGGCTATACCATAAACCTCAATATTACAACACAAGTAATTATCTCACACCTCGTACTGCATACGTATATACGTGTGTTTCGGTGTGGTGGCAGACTACCAATCTCATCTACAGCAAAACAAAAGGTTGACGTGAAAACAGCTTTCAAGATTGTCTATAAAACTGTCAGATGGTTCACGTTGGATACCCTGGGGTGATAGCTCTCCACTCCTGGCCCACCACCACTGTGTGTACAAAATTAATTTACTGTTATTATTATTATTGTTATCATTAACGTGCCATAGTAATGCTTATGTGATTCTATTACCAAGACTGTCGTTACATAGTATCCTTCCTTCATATGCTTAAATCTCTTATGATTTTGTTTATTTTAATTCGCCTTTGATTTCTATTTGTATTTAATACATATTGATTTGACATGTGAATGAATGTGTGGTGTGACTGTTCGAAATGTAATGGCTCAAATACATCACAGTTTTTTCCAGATGATCTACCTGTTCTAGTTATGCTATCCAAATCTATTAAAAGGACTAGTTGTTTTGTTAAATTTTCACTGCATGCGTATTTAGAAAGAGTTCTGCAACTAACTGTATTTGCAAATAGAGAAAAGTTTCTAAAATTTAAAAATAAAATTACACATAACATGAATCTTTCAAGATATACCTGTAAATTAATGTGAAAAATATTAGTAATAATAACGTCTACACAGTGTTATTTCACACTGTTTATCTCTGACTCGCAAATATAACACAACACAATTGATCGGAAACTACTGTACCTATAATCAAAGCCATAAAGCACACGAGTGTGTCTGATGATACTGATTAGTTTTTTACCACTGCGTTATGCATAGAGTGCATCACGCTGATAATCAACTGCTAAGGTTTTGCGATAAAAAAAACAGGACATGATTTCACGTCATGAGTTTCCAAGACATCTAGGTAGTCGGACACACCAAATAGGTATGCAACATTTTTATTTATTATTTCCAAGGGAAACGATTGTCTTCATTAATATGAAACCAGTGTTGTTCTCTTGAAACTGAATGCTTCCAGCAGAGTGCGTGGAACACGCCACCAATGGCAAAGTTGAATTTAAAGTGACTTGAAAAGCGATGTGGACCATCTAGTGGTGCTGTCGTAACAGCAGAAAGCAAGACACGAAGCCAAGATATATTTTCAAGTGATCAAACCGATATTTATATATATGCAGTTTATATTCTCTAACCAATCACTGAGCTTGTTATTTTGTTTACATTAAACGACATGAAATAGAGTGTGAAAAAATGCCTAACTTATCATCATCGAAAATTCCACAGAATGACAGTCAAATCTCATCTATACTTCGATAGTGTTGGCCGTACAAAGTTGGAAACTACTACACTACGGGCGAAGTGGTCCGAATCTTCATCGACTATCAACAAGTATATGAGTGTTCCACATGTCGAGCGATCCACAACGGAAAACTCAGAGAAGCCTTTGAAGCAAAAGCAAGAGTAACGCAAAGCCGACTAATACCACCTGTTATATCCCTAACTGTGGTTGACTGGATTATGCGGAACACTGTGTGAATGGGGAGCGAAACGACAGGAATACGTTGGGCCACCGTTCAGAAGACTCTAGAAGATCCGGATTACGTCGACGATTTATGTCTAGTCTAATGTCACACAAACTCGAAGACTTACAGGCGAAAGCCAACAAGTTGGCAGAAGAAGCAGACAGCAAATACGGGACTTCAAGTGAACACAGAGGTGATGTAGATGACCAGCCAACAACAACAACAAGCACCACTATCCCTATCAACGGAAGAAATTCGAACGAGGTCACTTCGTTCACTTATCTAGACAGCACTGTTCCAAATACTGGTGGAACGGATGTAGATGTCGAGTTCGGAATTGGAAAGGCAAGATACGCCTTCATCAATCTGAAATCTGTTTGGAAATCCTCTGCGCTCAGCATAAAGAACGAAATTAGGATCACTTCTTCTACGTTGTTCAGAGACTTAGCGCACCGCCGAAAACATTCCCAAAAAGTTGCAGACTTGTCAACAGCTATCTTTGTTGGCTCCATAATGAAGATCAGATGGCTGGTCGAACAGCATAACCAACAGAGAATCCCAGGAACCAACTAACTGGCAAGATTTTGCCTGACGAATATGCAAGGTCATCACTCGGGTGGACGCTTAATGGGAAATGACGAGTTGGGTGTCCAAGGGTGACATGATGGAGATCGTGCTGGGAGAAAGAGATATGTTGCCGAAGCAATATGTTCCACCCTTAACCCATGATAACAATAATAATAATACACATCCCTAGGCGTCCTTAACTACTATGCTGTTAGATGAATAAATGAAAAGCCATGAAGGACTATCACTTGCCCATAAAATTAATTACAAATAACCACAGGCATTTTTATAGTACTGCAAGAAATATTAAGAAGCTAGAAAACACGTTTTCTTATTGAAAGGTAATTTAGCCTTGCCAATGGTTACTTGAATATTTTCCCACATTGAGAACGACACAGAATAATGGCTGAAAAAGTAAATAATTATTATTCCATTTCGAAGGCACAATATGACTAGAAACTACACTTGATTATGCAGTCATTTCACATGACCAATTACAATGTTCTCAATACAGCATGTACCTATACAAATCCAATAATATGACTATTAGTCTGCGTTATGATCAAATAAATCTAATTTACAGATCACGTAAATAGACAGTTTTCATGGAATCAATAAACATATATATATATAATATATATATATGTGATATTACGAAACTTCGCCCGGTTAACTAGCTCGCAAGTTCTCTACCCGGTCCGAAGCCAGGGTAAAGAGGGAGGGTTGCGCGTAGGGCTAGCAACTATACACCATTGGACCTATCAAACCGCTAGAGAAACTTCAACACACAGAAAATATATTGAAAATACAAAATATTCAAATAACAACAATCTTATTCGTCGCTCGAATCGGAGAGGTTTAGATGACGCGGGCTGGCGAAAGCTGGCCTTCGGGAAGCCAGTCATCTAGCCGATGTGTCTCCTCTCGATGAAAGCAAGAGTAAGAATGGAGAGGTGGAATGTCCGTACAATGTACGAGACTGAGAAGGCTTCCCAAGTAGGCAACGAAATGCGAAGATGGAGCACACAAGTGCTGGGAATCTGAGAAAGCAGATCGAATGGATGTGGATTGACAACATTGTCAACTGGAGAGTCAGTAATCTACTCCGGTCACCCAGACGACAACCACAGGCACACTAAGACAGTGAGTGTCTATAATGATGTCGCCAGTTTCAGCCAAAGCTCTAATGCAGTGGGAACCAATTTCATCCTGCAGGATCATGACAGCAAGATTCAACTACAAAAGAAGGCAGGAAGGTTACAGTTATCATACAATGCTACCCACAGTGCTACAAACAACGTGGAACAACACAAGAAGCAAGAGTTTTACAGACAACTACAAACAGTAATCGACAACATCGCAAATGGTGACATCAAAATTCTCCCTCATGAGCGATATGAACGCCAAACTGGGACCTGATAATACTGGAAGAGGACTCATCATGGGTCGAGAGACTCTCGAAGAACGGAGCACTTTTCGCAGACTTCTGCGCTTTCGATGATCTGGTAATCGGAGAGAGCGTGTACAAACACAAGGATATACACAAAACAACATGGATTTCGCCTGACGGACACACCACAAGTCAAATAGATTTCCTCTCAATACTGATCAAGGAAGTGGAGACGCAGCTAGTCTGCTGGATACAAAGTGGAGAAGGGGAGCAGATGTGGGAGGGCTCAGACCATCATCTAGTTCTAGCAATCTTCAAGGTGAAGATGAAATCCATGAAAACAAATGCAGACAGACAACTGTAATTCAAGTTCAACATTCAGAAACTGAAGGACAAAACTACAAGCGATGCTTTCATTACAGACATCAGATCAAATCAAAGTCGGAAACACTACGTGGCATCACTGAGGAAGCCTGTGTGGAAGAACATTGGAACAAACTCTCTGAAGGTGATGTTCAAGGATACTTGTACAACTGTTCTAGGAAGAAGGAAGAGATAAGACAAAGAATGACTCTCAACGGACACCTACCTGGAAGCTAATGGAGGAGAGGAGGATGATGAGACAGAAGATAACTCAATGCAAAGATGGGCAACAGAAGGTGATGTTGAGTTCAATCTACAAGGCCCAGAATAAAGAAGTGAAGAAGAGTGGTAGGAAAGACAAAAGACAATTCTAAGACACATTGTCAACGGAAGCAGAACAGGTAGGCTGCAGGAAAAAGACACCTCAGGACATTATATCAAATAACCAGGTCTCTATTCGGGAAGAGATCAGCCCAGATGATGAAATCCATAAAAGATGCTCAACGAAACCAGATTGCCAAGTAGGAGAAACAAACAAAGCAGTCGGTTGATCACTCCAAAGGGCTCTTGAATCGACCATCACCTGCAACTCGCCCAGAAATATCACCACCAACAGCATGCACAGACCCTCTCGCCAGTGGACACCAATCCTCCAACAAAAGCAGAAGTCTTCAATGCACTCGAGCTAGTAAAATCCGCGAAGGAAGCAGGACGGGACAAAATCCCCTCCGGAGTACTGAAGACGGATCCGGAGACCACAGCGGATGTGCTTACGCCACTATTGTAAAAGGTTTGGAAGGAAGAGAAGGTACCTATGAATTGGAAGAAAGGCTACCTTGTCACACTACCAAAGAAAGAAAACGCAGACCTGTGAAAAAATGAGGTGGATTCATGCTCTTGTCCACGACAAGTGAAATACTAAGTCTCATCATCCTGGAGGGAATAAAGCATACACTGGATACAGAACTCCTCCCTGAAACACAGTGGACTCAGGAAAAGCAAATCATCTGCTGATCAAAATGCAACTCAACTTATCATCATCACAGAACAAAGCCTAGGATGGCAGTCCAACCTCTCCCTACATCAACTTCATCGACTTCGGAAGGGCTTTCGACAGCGTTGACCGAGACGTAATGTGGAAACTACTTCAACACTACGGAGCGAAGTGCTTCGAATCTTCATCAACCTTATTCAACAAGTTTATGAGGATTCAACCTTTTACGTGATCCAAAATGGAAAACTCAGAAAAGCTTTCGAAATAAAGAAACAGGAATAAGATTAGGCAAGGCCTTCGGGTGGAATCCGTACGGGAAACGACTAGTCGTTGTTCCGAGGGTCGGTCGGTGAAAGTTAACGGGCAATCATTGGCGCAGCGAATGAGATCAGCAAGTAATAGGACAAAGAGTAGATGTGTTGTTAAAGCCCTATGCTACACTCGAAACGCAAAAGCTAATTACAGTAGTAGACACATTGTGTGATGTTTGAGTTATTGAGTAGTGAGCAGACACATTCATTTCAATGGAGATTCGGTGAATGCAAGCTATTGCAGTTTTTCACTTTATTCTTATCACAATCATTTCCAGTGTTTATGTTATTTGAATGACATGTGAATATGCCTTGAGTTATCAGTTTTCAGTCTTTCCCTACCGCATTCTTTCATTTCTTCACTGTTCTATTTCGATTGCTTTTGTTTAATTATCTTTATTCGATTTTGAAAAATAGACTGTAGAAATGCTTTTCCAACGGGGATTAGTGAAAATTCTCTTCGCAACAGAAACATTTTCGATGGGGGTAAATATGCCCGCAAGGAGTGTTGTGTTTACATCACTAAGTAAATTTGATGGTCAAACAGTACGTCCCTTAACTTCAAGTAAGTTAATTATTTCAGCTTTAACAACTTATTTTTGAATTATATATACCTTACCGTTGAGTCTTATTTGTTTCTGTTTTTCACCAGACACATTGGTATCTAACTGCAAATAGATATGTATACAACTAAACGATTATAGGTGTAATGAAAACTAGGATAGTGATTCCTTTGAAAGGCTTGAAGAACTCTTTCAGTCAGCTTTATGGTATTCCATACTACACCAAAAATCTCCCAAATAACTAAAACCTACGACATTTAGTACTCCTGTTTCTTTAGCATTTATTCCCGGGAATAACTCATACGGAGTTTTCAATATTTCAATCATGGAGAACTCCCAAAACAGAAGTCACATTAATGTGAGCGCTGAAAATAATTTCCAGAGGGACGATGGGAACTTCAAAGATAAATCGCACAGCTGAGAGAAGGCAGCCACGTAAAAAAAAACATTAAATTAAGCTAAAAATCTACTCTACTGTTCTCAGTTTTGTTACTTATACATCCGGTGGTTCAGAATGAATACACTTTCTCCACTCATCTTAGATTGTTTTAACCATTATTTATCTGGCTGGAGGAATCAAAGTAGAAATTGTAAAATGTTGATCGGAGACAGTTGATACAGGTGCATAAATGCGGAGAAAACTGTTGGAGCCTTTCCCTGACTAGTCAGGAATGCAATGAATTAGCAATCATAAAATTGACTAGGTTTTCTTCGATGAAAATGACAATTGCATAGATAAAACTGCAATTAAGTCGGTGCAGAGCAGTTTTGCAGCATTCCTTTATAATTGATAGGTGAAAAATTGCATACCAAGTGTAGGATTATTTTTGTCCTACAGATTTAGTCCTTCCTCAATACTGACGACACAGAGTCTGGGCTTAACTATAGTTAAAACAGAATGACTTGACTTTAACTTTATCTGTTTCTAAAACATAAAATAAATCATACAATTACACCAAGAAAAATGTACAAATCCACTGTCATTACAAAAAAGGATAAAAACGTACCGAACAGTATTGAGGGTACGGACAAAATGAACAGTCAATTAATTACATGTATACACAAATAGAATGACAGACAAAAAAAGAACATTCAAGGTCATCACGTGGTGAGAGTTACAATAAATTGACCAATAATCGCGACAAGAAGGTCACATCATATTGATTAACTGTCTATCATATAGTCTATCTATCTGTCGCGATTAACACTCCCCGCGAACGATCACCACGTTGACTTCTTGTACCTGGAACCATAAAGTTGTCTGCTTCTTCCAGCAAACATACGCTTCTTATATCTTGTTCCACTTCTTGAGTTGAAGTTTTCAAACACACTGTCCTGACGAGGCCATCTTGGTCATAGTACATCGTTTCAGCAGCAAGTTTTCCTTATTAGCATACAGATCCTGGAGCTTAGTATGATATGGATTGATGTAAACTGGAGTCATGACCATTTTCATTTCGAATCACCACTACATGTGTTTGGCAGAGAAATATTTAAATCACTTTCAAATTTAGGGTTAAGAAACAACAAAAACAGCAACGAAATAAATGGTCAGTAACTTTGCTGAATAAACGATTTTACTTACTTCATCCAAAACTACTATCTCGAGATCCTTGATCATTTCAGAGCTTGAACACAACATGTTGTGTAACACTTCAGTAGTCATGATCAGTAATGGTGCCTCAGGGGCCAGTTTTATATCACCGGTAACTAAACCAACATTTCCATTAAATTTTTTCCTAGAATGTAATCAAAAATGAATAATAATAATAATAAAGGTTAGAATAGTTTATATATTTATATATAACGGGTTTTAGTCTACCTTAAAATTCCAAGAGGAAATAAATTTCAAAGTCTTTCCTGTTGAAATGTGCCTTAACAGCCATTCATGTTTTACATGCACATAGCTATTAGCCTGTCAACCGAAAACTCTATAGATGAGGCGGGCCTGATGCGCGACCGCAACTATGGTATTCTGAAGTTGAATGTTTGAACAGATGACCCATATATCATAACATAACATAAACTGAATAGAGGATTTCATCCATACTTTGATGTTTGACTATGAATCACTTACATAATTCATCAGTTCATAGTCTACCGCTTAATACAGCCTTTTCTAATGCAGCGTTGTAGTTTCATAGACAGACTTGATATAATGTCCGATAACATTGAAACTCAGAATGTATTATCCGCTATTCTAAGAACATGCAGTTATTTACCACCTGGTGTTAATATACTTAACTTACTGATTCGGCTGAATTATTCTGCTTTTATAAGCCATCACACTGGTATGGGGCAAAGCTTCAGTACAGAATGTTACAATTAAACTGAATAAATACATAGATGTTATAGGAACCTTATAACTTTCTAAACAGCTATGCAATTAACCTCCTGTTTAATTGGTAAGCTGGTCATTCTCTGCTTACGGCCTGTTTCTACGACTGATAATCTAACTGCTGCCACCGTTTTACAAAATCAAAATAAACTGAATGAATGAGTGTTATGCCTAGAGTAATTGGCAGATACCAGTGATTCAAGATAAAAACCCATATGCTGGACTACACAGTCATGTCTACTACTATGTGAAAACAGATTCTAGTGACCAGGGTATTTGGATGACATTCGGTGGGATGGAATTTGACACTATATGGTAGCAAATTCTGTGAAACATTGCAGTAGACAATTATAATATTAGTCAATAAGCACAGGTATATTTGTGTAAAATGCACATATATTAACTAACCGGAAATCGTAAAACTTTTGGTTTGATAAAGCTTTGACTGGGCTAGTGTAGATTACTCTCGACCCACGACGCAAACAAATAGCACATGCATATTCTGCAATAGCAGTTTTACCAGATGATGTATGCGCTGCTACAAACACTGTTTGGTTATTTTCAAGGCAAAGTATTGCACGTTTTTGAAACGTGTCCGGTTCAAATTCCCAATCTAATGCTGGATTGGGTACTATTGTTTTCAATGGTGGAAGACGGGTTACAGTATCCTCCTGAAGTAGCAATAATGATGATAACGGTTACTTAAAGAATAAAATATGCTGGATAAAATAAGAATTATTAAACGCTGACATATCTTAATACTAGTTCGCAATGTACACAATAAACAAGAGCAAGCGGATGAATTATATATATATATATATATTTATATATACATATATATGTATATATAGACCTGTCAGAAAAGCAAAAATACGTTAGTCCTTTATCACATTTCCATAAAATGGCTTATTTCGAGGTCCCCATGATTATGTTAACTTTCTTTAAGTGGCATTGCAAAAGGTGTGTTTACTTGAACAAACTCTCTTTATATACGCCATATGCTGTTATCATCTTTGTGTTACGAGATACAACAAAAATTTAGACAGATTTTGCCGTGACTGTTAAACTGATTATACTACTAATGTACAACTGGCTGGTTATTTGATCGACTAAATTAGACTAACCTATTAATAGCGCTAGTTAATAGTGTGGTCGAGTGATCAGCTCTTGAGGAAAAGCTGAAATACTCGTACAAGCTCTCAATGAATTGATATCAGAATAAAGAACAACTATACACTGATACGTATATTGTGAAAAATGCTGAATTTTTAACAATTAATAAATTGTCATCTACGAACAAAAGTACGAACTAGATAATTCAGAGATACAATATTTAAGAGATAATAAAATAATTGACAAAGCATACGTAATCCAAAAATGTCCATAAGGTATCAACAAATTCTTACCGATATAAATACATAAAACTGTTTCTTTTCCTTATGATAAACTTAATTATGGGGTTTGTTGTTTTATAAAGGGATATAATGTATGCGATCTATGTTTAATATGGTTCCTGTAAACCACTGGAAATTTCGGAGTCGAAACATCTACTTCCCTTATTCATGATACATGAAATGCACACTGCTAACAGATTTAGAACGAGTTATGTAATCAGACTGTTTAGTGAAGAAAATACAATCATGTGAATACTTTCTAACTTTCTTGAACCAAACATGCACTATTGATGCCTATGAATACTATGAATAGAGATGCATTTCCTTACAGTAAAAACAACACTCAAATATAAATTGACACATAATCAAAACGAGAGAAAAAAGAGGTAATCATTAGGATAGTGATTAGACTGATTTCATTTTTCGAGTCACATCACTGCACACAAGACAATGTGTGTGCATATGACACGATATTCTTCTGTCTAGAGAACTTGTCCACCAGAGCAGTTAGATGAAATCTTTTTGCTCAGGCATTAACTATTCAGTTCTGTATATTGGTAGAGCAGGAAAAAAAGAGCAGCAAATATCGATGAAATATGCTTTCGCCTACATTTTACAACTACAGAACCAGTATTTATTCAATAATAATAAGCAATAAATAATTAAAAGTTCAGTATTCCCCTACAATCAAATACTAGACGTAAAAAAATTACACCTCTTCTTGTAAAACAGGCAATTTTCATACGTGGCGTAAATATTAGGCGACCAACTCTATGAAGAAAAGTAATAGCATTTCTAACATTATTGTGGCATTGTATTAGTATGCACCGGAGGTTCAGCGATAGAATGAAATGCTCACCAACCAACCGCATGCCGTAAAAGGAAGAATAACACCACTAACACTGGAACTTCAAAGATCAAAGCTTGAAGCCTTATGTTCCACGCGGAACGTAAAGGAATAAAATAATAATAGTAATGAAATAATTGAATCAGTACTTTATCTACAATGACCTAATTTACGTTAAAACTGTAATAAAACGGCTAATTTCCATTGTGTACTTTGCAGTTGAGAAGACACCGACAAAATCAAACAGATAAGTTTCCTTCTGGTTTAAGTAGAGGTGCCAGATGTATATTTAATCCTTCAAGGATACGAATACATCTAAATTTGAAATGTATTATATGATATCCGGTGTGATTCAACAGCAAAATGGAATTCAGAATAACAGAAACAAAACACTAAATTGATGAAATACGCTGAAAGAGTTCGAAAATACGTTCACTGTTGTCAATCTTTGGTTCTTGAAAAGGAACTCCAGTATACACAAAGACTCTCGACAGTTACCCTTCGGGGTTGACTTCACAATAAAGTAAAAGTCTACATATGACTTGGGTCAGTTTATCGTGCTGCTGCTGCTGCTGGATTCAACATAGAACTTGGCACCGAAGTGCAGCAGTTCCAGTTGCCACCTTCCAAATAGCACACAAAGGTAGACAGGAAAATGAGAGAAGAGAATCAATAGAATTTAGATAAGTATAAGAGTGAAACAGAATGAGTAATGGTAGAAAGGAATATGAAGGTTAAAGAGACTGAATACATCTGCGCCATTGACAACGATTTTGAGCCATGTCACCTAGTGTCTCCAGCCATTGATTCTTAGAGTCCCGAGGGCCCCAACCCGGAAGTCTGCATCTCCCTACCTGACTCAGTTTAACTGTCAAGGATTTCATGGATTGATGCCATGTTTTTATTTGGCCACCACTTACTCTTTTCCAACCTGCATCTATATCAGCTAGTAATGCCCGTCGGGGGAGACGATGGCTAGGCATGCGCAGCACGTGACCTAGCCATCTCAATCTATGTAACTTTATAGCCTCTTCGATTGATTTTCCCTCTTTGCCCAACACTCTACGCCTAACGTCAACATTACTTACCTTATTATACCACCTAACGCGAGAAAGAGATCGTAAACATCTGTGGTCAAAAACAGACAATCTCTTCATGTCTTCCGCTCTCAATGGCCACGTCTCACCGCCATACAGTTTATCGTACTTTCGTGTCTCATTGAGAATCAAAAGACGGAAAATATTTGTGAGAGTTGCTGCAATTTCTGTTGAGGAGGATGTAAAAGGTGTTTCAATTAACACTATCAAGACTGGTTGTACCCCAAGTGATGAGGGGAGCAGCACTCCGTCAGCTACATTTTTCTCACCAAGACATTAACAGATGCTTGGAACTGTTTTTTCATCAAATCTAGATGGAAAATTGGAATACACAGCCCACATTTGTAGCGATTGTGCAGCAGATGCTAAGCTATCAACAACAGAGGAATAACAGTCAAAGTCGATCCAAGAAAGCGGATGGTCTCGGAATTCATATTCACTTGGGTGGTCCATCCCAAATAAAACAATTCTTGGTAGTGATAGATGCATTTTCTCAAGGGTCAAAAGTTCTTATCACAGAGAATATTCCTTCAACAGCGGTTTTGAATTACTCGATTTGGTGGTGACTGATGTTACTCAGTTTACATCAAAACATCTTCAACAGTTCTGTCAGAACAACAACATCCGACATATCCTATCATCATCCATCCTATCATCCTCAGTTGAATGGTCAAGCCGAACGCTTCTTTAATACACTTAAAAGCACTGTCAAATGAAGAGTGGGGGGACAATAACTCAAACGTTCTCTTTGGACTATAGATCACTAGCGAATCCATTGACTATGAATGGACCATCACCCAGTGAAAATCTTTTCGGACAAAATTTCGTACTACGCTGGATAATTTACTCTCAAAACGTAAAATTGAAACATCAAGAAACACTAAGATGGAAGAGTAGTACAATAAACGTTCACCGTTTTCGAACAGCTAAAGCAAAATGGACCGCCAAGGTCAGTGGAGAGAAGAGTGCGACAGTTGCTGATTGAGCGAAAGCCAGAGAATCTCTTGGGTCAAGACGGATGAATCTGATCAGCAAACGAGAAAGCACTGGAGATATCACTCACCGACTTCAAGAAAATTTAACCATGAGAATACTGTACAAAGGACCAAGCATGAAAAAACAAGTGAATAAATGTCAGAAGCACTACCAAGATCGCAGAAAGTACGAGGACACCCTTAATATCTTCAAATAGTTCTCTAATAGGAGACTCATTAAATAAAGGTGTCAGGACATCCAGACACGTTATGAATCATTCTTCATGCGACCAGCATAATTCATTCCACTGAAGAACATGCACAAAGCAAGTACGACAAATGTACCAGGGAAACTTGAGTTCATTTTTATTACTTTACGGATTGCTTTCAACAACTACCTACGGCCTAACCAATACAAAAACGGGTTGGAAGCACTTTTTTCGCAGTGAAAAAGCATAATTTATAGGATTTCATTTTCATGACATAAGACGCATTTACACCAGTTGATAAATTTGGTCTATAATAATGAATATGTTAATTGCTTACTCGTCTAAGTACCAGGCTCCCAAAAATTCCCAGGCGTTTCGGTGTTTCTCCTGCTTAAAAATTATACACTTTTCCAAACAAACTGCTGTCTGTAATTGCATACATACATTGATATGAAACAGTATGCGTGTCTCATCAAAGCTAATTCATGCTGTTGGATTCTGATTCGAAGGGGACATCCACTTACATCAATGCAAACTTCTTGAAGATTGGTACTCCGGTGGGTCAGCTACTAACGAACACATTACTGTACTTAAAATGTAACAATAAATCTCATTTAATAAAGAAGTGCAGAAAAGTGCCAGGAAAGATAAAAGACAGTTATACGACACGCTGTCAACTTAAGCAGAACAGGTAGGCTGCAGTTAAAAGACACCTCAGGACATTATATCAAATAACCAGGTCTCCATTCGGGAAGAGATCAGCCCAGATGATGAAATCCATAAAAGATGCTCAACGAAACCAGATTGCCAAGTAGGAGAAACAAACAAAGCAGTCGGTTGATCACTCCAAAGGGCTCTTGAATCGACCATCACCTGCAACTCGCCCAGAAATATCACCACCAACAGCATGCACAGACCCTCTCGCCAGTGGACACCAATCCTCCAACAAAAGCAGAAGTCTTCAATGCACTCGAGCTAGTAAAATCCGCGAAGGAAGCAGGACGGGACAAAATCCCCTCCGGAGTACTGAAGACGGATCCGGAGACTACAGCGGATGTGCTTACGCCACTATTGTAAAAGGTTTGGAAGGAAGAGAAGGTACCTACGAATTGGAAGAAAGGCTACCTTGTCACACTACCAAAGAAAGAAAACGCAGACCTCCAAAAAAATGAGGTGGATTCATGCTTTTTCCACGACAAGTGAAATACTAAATCTCATCATCATCCTGGAGGGAATAAAGCATACACTGGATACAGAACTCCTCCCTGAAACACAGTGGACTCAGGAAAAGCAAATCATCTGCTGATCAAAATGCAACTTAACTTATCATCATCGAAAATTCCACAGAATGACAGTCAAATCTCCATCTATACTTCGATAGTGTTGGCCGTGGACAAAGTTGGAAACTACTTCAACACTACGGAGCGAAGTGGCCCGAATCTTCATCGACCTAATTCAACAAGTATATGAGTGTTCCACATGTCAAGTGATCCACAACGGAAAACTCAGAGAAGCCTTTGAAGCAAAAGCAAGAGTAACGCAAAGCCGACTAATACCACCTGTTATATCCCTAACTGTGGTTGACTGGATTATGCGGAACACTGTGTGAATGGGGAGCGAAACGACAGGAATACGTTGGGCCACCGTTCAGAACCTAGAAGATCCGGATTACGTCGACGATTTATGTCTAGTCTAATGTCACACAAATTCGAAGACTTACAAGCGAAAGCCAACAAGTTGGCAGAAGAAGCAAACAGCAAATACGGGACTTCAAGTGAACACAGAGGTGATGTAGATGACCAGTCAACAACAACAACAAGCACCACTATCCCTATCAACGGAAGAAATTCGAACGAGGTCACTTCGTTCACTTATCTAGACAGCACTGTTCCAAATACTGGTGGAACGGATGTAGATGTCGAGTTCGGAATTGGAAAGGCAAGATACGCCTTCATCAATCTGAAATCTGTTTGGAAATCCTCTGCGCTCAGCATAAAGAACGAAATTCGAATTTTAAATACCAATGTTGAGTCGGTTATGTAATATGGGTTAGAAACTTGGCGTGCATGACATCAAAAGCATTCTAACGGGCTACTGCAGACTTTTATCAACACCTGCCTCCACTGGCTTCATAGTGAAGATCAAATGATCGAGAGGAATCAGCAACTTGTGTGGAACCACAATGGGAAACGATGAGTTGGGCATCCAGTGGTGACACATAGGAGATTGTGTAAGGATGAGATGAGAGACAATGGGCAATCATAGTCTCACTCAAAGAGGACCACAGAGAGCCGGAGAAAGTGATGTGCTGTTGAAGGCCTACATTCCACTTGGAACCCAAGGGAACAAAAATATAAAAGTGATATAAGAAATCACATGACAAAAAAGTCAAAACTCCAGGTCAGTAAAAATGATCAGTTTAAATTGACAATAATAGCATACATAGAGAATTCTTTATATACTCCATGCCCTATATTAAAGCCTGCGCTAAAGATGGTGTCTAGAAGGACAACGACGGCTTCATAATTAAATCAACCAGCTCATACCATACAATCAAGTTAAAGTCGATACTTTTGATTTTTATCCTATACTGCTGGACATGACGAACACCTATGAATTTATAAGAAAACCAATGAATGTTTCTGTGTTTTATGTATTCCATACCTAGCAAAATCAGTGGTGTACAATAAGATAACAATATCAAATATTGGCAACTCACCTTCACAGCATAAGATTGTCTCGGTCTAGAAGCTCGCACGCGTCGTTTGAGGAGGGTCACTTTTTGCGTTTTCGGTAAAGAAAAACTTCCAGTTTCATCCAGCTGGGCTGTGCAGTCAGTAAAATAACCTTTAGGGTAACACCACTTATGAAAAACACTATCCGTTGCTTTTTCCATTGCCCGACTTAGAATATTGTGAACAGACATTAAGTTTGCTGACGAATCATCTGAACTACTGTAAATGCAGTTTTGAAAAGGAAATCCTTTTTTAACTGAGGATAAGGATTGTCTGCTAATTTCTTCAATGGATTTCATTAAACTCGACTCAACCTACAAAATAAAATGAATTAAAAGTATTGAGCAACCACTTTGTTTTCATTCGGTGCACTAGGGTATGTGACAGTGCTGCATGACCGTTTGAAATTAATGTCAGGATTCATCAATTCTCCTGTCATACCATCTCTATACACCGGAATACTATGATACGGTATATGAACATGCTGATGGATCAAAACATCTTTCAGTGATTTCGGAAATAATTCTTCATCCTTCGGAAAGGAATGTTCGAGGAATGCGTGTACTCTTAGTATCTCCGTCATTAATGTTTATCAACTGAAATACCACTCAAACAGAATGACCTTCGAAACATTAGTCTAGTAGTATCAAACGCAACACTAAAACATTTTCAACATATCAAATTCAGATATTCTTTGGACGTTTATAATTATGAATACTTTATTGCACATTCCTGATCTATGTTTAGTGGTCAACTGCACCTTCTAGACCTACTACCACACGGACTTTGAAGGGGGAGTGAATTTTAGGCTGGACTTATATGTCATGTTTGGCTGAAATTTCGCTTGGAAACATTTTGTCGATAAGTTTTAATAAAATAAAATAAAAACGTAATAATAAATAAAATCTGGACTGATGGGAATTCTCATTTCCCGGCTAGTTATGTTGGTGTCCGACTCATGTGATCTTACTGCGACACACTCTTAGCAATGATTAGTGCTTCAGATGGACTGTGTCAAAATAGCGCTATAATGAGCATAATGGGATAGTTGGAGGGTAATGTCATCCACACAAATGGTCTACTTTATTTAGAAGCTGCATAGTATAATTCAATGAAGACTTCACCTCTCAGGATATTAATTCAGCCTATTTTCGTGTGAAGAACAGTCCTTATCGACAAAACAATGGTATCAATACTTGGAAATCACCTGTAAATGCTAACAGAATCTTCTGTGCGAACCTAAGTTACCATGTAGATGTGCTCTTCACTTTATCTGTGGCTGGACGGGAATTATCGTAAGTTGAAAGGTTAGCTCAAAGTGGATTTAATATGTATTTACATTGATTGGCACAGTGCAATATGGGTTATGTGAATTCAGTGTATAGAAATATCTCAACTTTATTAATATCGTGCCACTGTCCGATTAGCTGACTGATATTGTAACAAATGTAGGTAGTTCTCATGATTGCTGCAAGTGCAGTGCAGTGGAGAAGGTAATTACTAGTTTAAATTTCCTGACTGTTCCACTTAGTGCAGTAATTCAGTGTAAGGATGGATTGTGTTAATTATGAGAACTGAATCTAGTCAGCTCTATTACTACCAATCTACCGTCTGTTGTACCATTCTCACTGACACTGTAAACTTAATACTGCAATGTTATTGATCATCAATAGTGGAGATGAATTTCTCCTGAAGTTTCCATTTATATAAAGCAGTACAGATGCAGTGTCACGACTGAATGTCTAGGTTGCATTATATGACATTTTCATCCTCATCAACACAACTGATCTGTGTATCCTACAATATTTTAAGTTCTTATCTATGCTGTTAACACTGTGTATAGCTGTTTAGAGTTGAGGCATGTTCAGCCTATATTTGGTGGCTACAGATTCCTAAATGTGAGAATGTAATTTCTGTAGAATTCAGAAAACTATGTTCATTAGACATTACTGGGATTACTGATTCACTTCTAAGTTGCGTATTTGCAATAATTCCTTTGGTGTAAACGTATTTATTGTGAAGTTGATCTGCAAGTAATCTTGACGAGAGAATGATGCCTCAACACTATGGATGTTTCAGATATTGTCTTGAAATTTGCGTATAATTCTCTTATACTGGAAAGCATATGAGGTCTGTTAATCCATACAGCGTCAATATAAAAACCAGCTGTAGACTACAAATATTTTTATTTGCATGAGAATTTTACTTAGTATTAATAGAATCAGTGTGTTCATATTGTATACTAATAAGTAAAATTATCTTTCATAACTTCATGTTGTGCTTTATTTTTTAGGTATATGGAGGTTGTCGAATATGGAATCAGCAGAAATTACAATCATTCTAACCAACGCTAATCCCCTTCATCAAGGTTTTTTTTATAAATTAATTAAATGTTGAGTATAGTGTTAATTTTCACTTCTGGACTTCTTCATTGCGTTGCTATACTATGAGCTTTTGTTAAACGTGAATTCGGATTGTTGCATGTTAAGCTTAGTTAGTGGAATGGAGACTCACTATAGTATTATAATAATAATGTATCATCATTTTTTGTACATGAGGGACGCCAGTTTATAGGCATCATCAATATGATAAATTACATATACGATTAGTAAGCATATTTAGTAATGATAATATAATAAAGTACATATTTATTCCTACCTATGTAGGACAAACCAATTGTACAGGCGTAGATGAGTATTATTTAAATTAAATAAGTTTGGTTTATGGTGAAATTACAAGGTTGCTGTCTTTCTGTCTTTATTTTGTGGGAACAATCCTATAACTAGTGGTTCAATGGACCACATCAAGAAATACAGAAATATTGTCTTCGCATTAGCAAAAAGAACCCAATTATATCTTGGATGGGGTACAAATACTTGAGAAAAAAATGAAGCTTGAAGTCATTCTCCCATATAACTTTTATATGTGCGGAATCAAGTCATTTTCTTGATTTGTATCCAAATTTGGTAATAATTTAAAATAAGTGATACGCTTTTAGTATTTTGTCGGCATTTTCATAGTAACATCACAAGTGAATTGTACTCAATGTGGACTGATAATAATAGTTTATATTTTCTTATAAACAGGTGTTTACAAGAAATGCAAGCTATTTTTACAGGCACCATAATTTATGTTATCAGTTACGATCGCATAAAGGTAAATTCCACAACTGTAATCCAGGTTACTTCTTGGGGGAATGTAATGCGTAATTCACTGGATAATTGTAAGATATGGGGCCAATAATGTTTACAGATCATTTGTCATTGTGAGTGGTCAAATATCTACATTCTTTATTCTTATTCCAAAAGTCACATAGAAGCTAAAATGGTGAGAGAAAAAGAAGACAAATGACAGCAACACAGAAGAAAGCAAGTGGAGTCCTCAAGGAGTGATTAATATATATATATATTCTGTGTAGTAACTATGAATATTTTGCTACATTAACTAACTAACTTTTCCTGTTATACTAACTTTTATATAATATGCGTGAACTAATATTAACATCCCTGGTAGAAATGTTTATCAATTACTTCCAGTAATATTAACGTTTATAATTGTAGTTTGTTGTGACTTACACATTTAATGAACTTAAAAATATCTAGGTAGGGTGAAAAGGGGGGTGTAAGAGTCAAAGGCAGAAGTGCATTGTCATCTTACTCTAGCACATGTTTATCACCTCTCTTCTTACCTTCCATTAACGCAACATTTCGTAATTCCCGCATGAATTTGACTGACTATAAGAATATTGTAGACTATAAATTAGACTTGAACCAATATATTGTAATCTATTCTAACAAAGTTTCTAAAGGTTATTTTTTCCATTTTTCCAATTTTTATTGTCAAAAAAACAGTGTTCCATTTCAAATTGCACTTGTCAAATATGATCATGCCTGTACAAACGGTATGTTAGTCATGTAAATGCTTAATTTATGTGAAATATATATATTATATTATCTTTGAGCAGTCTGGTGACTGAGGAGATGAACAACGGGAGTGTGTTTGCATCACGCACATCAGCTGGTAGTCGGTGCGTCGGTGGCACAGTGGTTAGGACTCTCGCCGACCATGCACATGGTCCGGGGTTCGATCCCCTGCCGGCGCACACCCGATATCTATGGTCGGCCTGAATTTGGGCTACCGATATCCATGCTGAAAATTCCACACTTGTACTGAAAATACGGTGTGGAATCAAGCTGTAAAATCAAAAAAATCAAAATAAAAAAATAAAATCAAAATAGTCTATTTCAAATGACTGAAAACTTATTTAAGAAGTTGTACTGCATGTAAGTCTAACAATGCTCTATAGCAGCTAGGTTGTGATGATTTCTAAGATTGTAACTGATGACAGCGGTAGGTTTAGTTATTGGCTCTGAGGAGTGCAAGAGAAGATTAATTAGCTTGTAGTAAGAAATAAGGTTTAGCTTAAGACGTCTTTTCCAGAGTGGTTCCAGTCTCAGTCTCTCGCAACGCTCATAGTATTTGAGATCACTTTCTAAACCAAGAGTTCTTGAGGTGAATTGCCGTTGCACTCCCTCTAATTTAAGCTTGTCATTCTGTAGAAGTCCGCTAGGAATAAACAGGCAGTACTCTAAAATAGGTCGGACACATACTTTGTGTAATAAAACCCTAGTTTCACAAGAAAAGGAATCGCGAGTAATGCATCCTAGGAGTCTTCGTGTTTTACCTCTGGCATAATCAGTTTGTTCAGAGAACGTTAAGTTACTGGAGTATCTAATACCGAGATCTACGACTGAGTTGAGCTTCGCTAGTTTACGCTCATTTACTCCAAGAGTTAGGTCAAGGTTACTGTTGCCGATACAAATCCAGCCGCATTTGTCAATGTTAAACTTTAGACAGGATTCAGCACACTATGTTGCGAGACCACTTAGTTCAAGATGGATTTTACTTACCATAACGTTTAATTCATGAGTGTAGCAGGAGTAAACGACTTCGAGGTCGTCAGCATATAGGAATGATTTACCTGAGGTGAAGCAGTTACAAATGCTGTTAGTGTAGACTGTAAATAAAAGTGGACCTAGGACACTACCTTGCATAACCCCACTTGTGATCTGCCTAGAATGAGAAAATACAGATCCCACTTTAGTTATTTGTACCATTGCTTAGAAGTTATTTTAACCAGTTCAGTAGTGAACTGCGAATTCCACGTGAGTACAGCTTCTCAAAGAGAATACTGTGAGATACCATGTCAAATGCTCTAGATATATCGAAGTAGAGAACAACGACTAGCTTGCGTGCTTCGCGACTACTAGTGATGCAGTTGAAAAAGTCGAAGTGACAAATAACGCAGGACATACTTCTGAGAAATCCGTTTTGAAACTTTGTAACAAGATCTTCCCTAAGTAGATAGTCTAATAATTGATCTTTGACAACTTTCTCCATGATTCGCAAGACAACTGGGATTATATTTATAGGTCTGTAGCTGAGAACGTTTGCCTTATCACCAGATTTGTAGTGTGGAGTTATAAAGCTAGTTTTCCACTCATTAGGGTAAGTGCCAGTGTCCATAGATATTGAGAAGAATTTAAGAAGTAATAGGGGTATATCACACCCACTGTTTTTGAAAATCATTGAAGCAAGGCCATCCGGTCCCATGCT